GCACTACGAAATATTCACAAAAAAATGTTATAAACTTAAACAATGGTCTTGGTTTATAAAATAAATAGGTTTTTAAAAATTAACACATTTCTATTTTAACTTTATTTTGTACAGTTAACTCAAAATATTACAATAACTTTTTAAATAGGTGTAAATAAATAGGAAGTGCGACAAAAGGTATTATGACATGAGTTCTTTATGCTATTTTATCTATTTTGCAGAAATTCTATAAAAAAAACGAATTTTACTTTAGATAATTGGTATCACAGTCATTGGTTTGACAGTTAATGTCAAAATCGATTGGCCATGCCGTCCTTAATTAACTTATTTACAATAAGCGGCTGTTAATGTTAAAGAAGAAAAAAAGGATTTTCTTTGGTGTTAAACAAAATTTATTGCCAGAAAAGTCTCGTAAGTACTAGAAAAATCATAAAAATATATAAAATCAAAATTTTGGGTGAGATAAGTATCTCATTACAGCACCTAAAGCGGTGTTATAATGAAGTCATTATGAACGCAAAATCGTATAGATAAAGATCTCATGTATACATGTATTACAGTATTTTAATAAAGGTATGGGTGATTCTACAAAAGTTGGGCAACTTTTGACCTCATTGTGTTTATATAGTTTTCGAAAAAAAAAAATAGTATTTTGTTATGAGAACATAGATAATATAATAAATATACTGTTCCACACCGGGCCAATCACTTTTTTAAACAGTTCCTAAAATATCTGTGTTTTCTAAATTTAAATGCAAGGTAATTGAGAAATATACCAGGGTATTAATAAAATACATAATTTATTGGAAAATATAAGATTTATTGCAACTTTGGGCATATTATACATTAAATATCTTAAAATCAAATAATACCACACTTTAGTGGCGGCTGGTGGATTTTGGGTATACCGATATCTCAATTATTAGATATGGTACCCTCACCAAATTTATATGAGTTTATAACGACATTAAATAAACAAGTTCTGCGCAAGCAGAATTTAAATTGAAGTTTGCGAAAAAAAGATAACCGAAACATCGAACATGGAACTGACGACACGGTACTGATGAATGGGATACAAATATGAGATTATAATTCGGAATTAAGTATTTTACTGATATTTTTTATTAGTGGATGCTACTTATCAACAAATCACATATAGCCTTATATAAATTACTATGAAATATATATACGTAAGAAAATAACTACTCACCACAGTACTGAAATTTTGACTGGAACTATACGTGCATTCATCACAACTTCGGCGCTTGCATTGTTTTCAAGATGACTGTCGTGGAAAGGGCGGGCTGTGTAGGTAATTTTTTACCAACACTTAAGTTAAAACGAGGACTTGACGTTTAAACTTCAATATTTCGCAGGAATTTTGAATTTTAACATTGGACACAGAACTGACGGGTAAAAGTGAGTACTATGATAAAATATGAAAAATACATTATTTAATGTTTTATAGTTAGTAGTGAAATTAAAAAATTTAAGATAAATTGAATATATTTTAAAATAAAATCACTCAAATATTTGATTCAGGAGTTGTGACACGCCAAGGTACTGATGTTTTGAATATTTATTGTTTTTTTTACAAACGTGCTTTTGAAAAAATACATTAAAATTGGGTGGACAAGTTAAAAAAACCCTGGGTATTTTGTAATATACTAAAATATTAACAAAAAATATTAAAATACCTACTCTATTGACTGATGACATCAAGTTGTCCAATTTTTGTAGAATCACCCGTATAATAAAAAAGTCAATAATAACAGTTTAAAAGTACATGGGTGTAAAATTGAAATAACAATGAGAATAGCCTTATCCCGATTCTCATTTTATGATGAATTAAACATGAAAAAAGTCAAACAACTACCGCTAATATCATGAATTATTCAACATGCAATATCTACCTGTGTTTTTAAGAATGTTAAATGGGATATGCAGTTAAAATACATACAGCTATTTTGTTAAATAATTTTATCAAGTATTCATGGTCAACGCGTGATTTTTTTTGGCTTTCAGGCAAATTAATTTTGTTTTATTTTTCAAGTGTTTGCTATTCGTTTTAGCCTTCTTTAATTTTTCTATCACGTTAGAAGTTCTTCGTACGAAAAAATAGTAGAATATTTGAACCAATGTCATGACACTGCAACCCAAAAATAGACCCATTGCTCCACATATTGACACTAAAAAAAAATTAATCCGGTGCATCCGCCATTTTTAAGGAAGATACGTATAATTAATTTTTTTAAATTAAATTTAAACTCATAGCTACGATGTGTGTTCAGAAAATATCGGGAATTTTCGTTTTTTGAAACAAATATTTATTTATTCGTCTACATTAATGTTGTCGCCCCATTGGATATTATGCACATGTGCCAGCTCTTCTTCCAATACTCGAAACACTTCTAAAACTCGATTTTTGGAATAGCCTTTAGTTCTTTCAGCGATGCGCTTTTAATGTCATCTATGCTTGCAAAACGACGGCCCTTTAAGGTTCTCTTTATTTTTGGGAATAGGAAAAAGTCAGACAGAGGCATGTCTGGCGAATATGGAGGCTGGGGCATCATTACAGTATTGTTTTTGGCCAAAAATTTTGTTCAAAAATTAACAATTTTAGAACAAATTTTGCTGCCACGCGTTTCATACCCAAAACATTCGAAAAAATTTCATGGGATGAGCCAATCGATATACCAACATCATCAGCGACTTCTCTGATGGTTTATAACCATTTCTTCCACTTTTTTCATGTTTTTATCGGTTGTTAATGTGCTTCTGCTATCAATCTTCAACGTCTTCACGGCCATCTTGGAAACTCTTATACCACTTGTAAACTCTTGTTTTACTTATAGCAGACTCACTATAGGCCTTTGTTAACATTTCACAGAATTTATTTCATTTTTTAAGCAAAATTGGATACAAATTCTTTGATCCATTTCTTTTAACGAACGAAAAATCGCCGAGCTCATAAAACACGTCTAACCTTAGCGGCTACCACAGACAAAGTAAACGATGAAAACAGCTAAAGTTTTTATCATAATTTGGGGGCATGTATACCAACATAATAAAGAAAATTTTATAACAACCGGACACTGAACCACAGACCACTGTGCTCTGAACCCGCGAAATTTAACAATTCCTGTTATTTTCTGAACACACCTCGTACATGACCAATGATCATTGGTTAAAGTATTTAATTAAAACAATATACACAGTGATCTGCAAAAGTATGAAACAATGAACATTACGAGTTGAACATACTATTTTTTTGTATTTTTTATGTGGAAAACTAAAGAATATTTTAATAAAAATTATTTTCTTTACAATCTTTAACATAGGCACTTGCTTATGAAACGTAAACCGTAGTAAAGCATGACAACGAATTAAATAAAAACAGAATTTTGTCGGAAGATGAGTGTTTTTGAAAAAAATGATGATTTCGAGTATATTGGAAGTCGCGAGAGAAGCGAATCAAAATCTGCTTCCATCTAAATCAAAAGAAAAATATGATAAAACTTTTGAACAATTCTGTCCATGGAGAAACAATCAAGGGGTACAAGGTGTGAAAATATTAAGCTAGCGTTTTTTTGGAAAAATTAATTTTTTAATTTTTTCTTGTATTTTTAGTCAAAAAATCTGAAGGAATCATCACTGTGGTCAACATATTCGATGCTGAAGAGTACGTTGCAAATATATGAAGGCAGTGACATTTCAAAATACAAGCAATTAATTGCATTTTTGAAAAAACAGAATGAAGAATATGAATCTAAAGTCAAAAGTGTTGTCAATTGAACAAACTATGAAGTTTCTAAATAACGCTTCGAATGAATCGGATCTATTTATGAAAGTGGCATTCATTTTTGCTTTAAATGGAGCAATGCGAGGGGAAGAATTACGAACACTAACATATAATGATATAGAACAGAATGATTCAGTTATTATCGTAACACTATAGTGTACGTATACGTACACTAATACAAAAACGAAAAAGAAGCGAGTTTTTCCATAACTTCGGAAGCGAACGGAATTGAGTTGTATCGTAAATTAAGGCCACAAAACACGAATCATTCCAGATTTTTCGTTTGTTACCGGAATGGTAAATGCACTGTGCAACCGGTGGGGATCAACATATTTTATAGTTTACCGAGAAAAATTGCTGAATATTTGAAGCTTCCTGATTCCAATAGCTACACAGGGCATTGTATGCGAAGGAGTGCAGCTACCATGTTGGTTGATAATGGGGGCAGTATCCCTGATTTGAAAAGACTGGGGGGATGGTCTTCAACATCCTCTGCTGAGGGTTATATAGGAGAAAGTATTCGAAATAAAATTCAAACATCGAAGAAGATTTTTAGAGGCTCCAATCAACAGGAAGCTTCAAAGGATGACTCTTACAGCACTTACCTTATCAAGTTCAACTATCATGGATATTTCATTAAACGAATTTTACAAAAGTACCAATGGAAATTAATTCCAAAATATATCTTATTGTACCTACATTTAATATTTATGAACATACAAATTGTGAATAAGTTTTTTCGTTTTATGTCAGATTTGTGTGTTTGGTTGTCTTGCTAACAAGTCAAATGTTGCTAACTATTGAAGTGTTGCTAATTAGTAAAATAAAACATTTCTTTATTGAATTCTGGCTATCCAAATGGCTGTTTTCCATTAAGGATACAAAAGGCTTACACAAATAAACCTATAAACCTGTTGACTTGTTTAAAGTATCTAATCAAGAACTAAAAATTAAAAAAAAAACATAGTTTATACCAAGTAAATCCAAGGGTCCTTTAACAACGTTTCTGTAGTATCTTAGTGTTGGGGCTGGTATTACAACAGTAAATCTGAATTTTGTTTCTTTGCCTGTATACCTGAAAAATTTAATGTATGTTAAGGTTTAATTAAGAATTTTAATATTTCTTCCAGACTAGTTTTAAGTTTTAGTTTGAATGTTTAATAATTATTTTTTTGTTCTAAACAATTCCTTAAGATTATTATAATAACTGGAAAAGTAAAATAAGCAAATCGTACGGAGGAAACTTAAGTTTAAGTTTTTCTGCTTCTGAATAGCGCAACTTTCCAACTTCTTTGATTTCCAACTCATCGCAAGATCTAATACAATTGCAACGTTTAGTAGTTGCTACAATATCATCGCGATGGTCTTCAAGACATAATAAACCACTTAGATCACATTCAGTGGTTGGATCTACAAAAAATATAACAAATTGTATGCTTATTTATTATAATTATAACTGGTAACTACAAACTCCTTCATACATTGGAACAGTCCTCTTTGTAGAGACTGTAACTGTGGAGAAGAAAACCCATAAAAACTAGTTTTTGACTTGAAATTAAATAAATTCTTTTAAACAAACCTGAAAAGGGAAGAACATGTTCAAAACAATTGCATCGTTGTTTTTGAGTTTCTATTAAACATTCGATTTCGCAATGAGATTGCGTATAGTAGGAAAAGTACTTTAAATTGTTCTCTTGTGGATATCTACACTGTCTATTCTCTATCGCTAAACTTGCTGCATCTGGAGAAGTAACAACTTGCTAAAAATAATGGTAAGTTTAGTAAAAATAAAGGTTTTTTCTTGTTTGACAGAACTTTTATTCCTATATATATATATACAGGGTGTCCCAGAACTCGCGCCACACTGAAAGAAATATATGTTTGTTTTAGCAATGTATGTGGTTCATATATGGACTACCACATACATTGCTAAAACAAACATATATTATATTTAGTTTTAACATAATATGTTAAAACTAAATATAAAAATGGTTAAGGTAAATATATTTTATGTTTCATATATGGACTACCACATACATTGCTAAAACAAACATATATTTCTTTCAGTGCACATAGAAAACCGGAACGTGCCGAAAGTAACGTGAAACACATATTTGAAAATTAAAATTGTCTAACGCAAAGGATAAGCGAGATAAGAATAAAAAACGATAGCCAATCCCAATAGATGGCCATAGGGAATTCTTTAAATTGCTAGGATACTTAGGTTGCATTGTTGATAATAAAAAATATGTAAAATATTTGGTCCACTGGAATCCAATTCATTGTGACACTGCTGTCAAACTCCTGTCATTAATATTATATTAGGTTATAAATTAAGTTATTATAAATAATGTTTTCCTTAGATGATTATACTGAAATGATAATTATTTATTTATTTAGTGTGAGCGCAACGCCAGGGAGGCAACGCGAGTTTTTTCCCAGCCCTTTCCTAATCGTTATTTTAAAACATTGGGGTTCTGAAGTATAAGTCATAGATTAATAACCTCATTTTTGAAAGCTTTTGACAACTTAGTAAATACAGTTGGCCAAAAGATTTTTAAATGTTTTTAATACAACAATGTTCTATCGTCTCCTAGCAATTTTTAAAGCTCTTACCAAAGATAATTATCTTTGGCTCTTACGTTTAACCTAGGCGAGAGCTCTCGGTATTGGCTGCCGCTTTTTTGCTCTCATTCGATTACACTATTACATAGAAATTTTTTATTTTTAAATTTGGCATCTCCATTGCTATAGACACGCCCCCTTTTTCTCTGTGGCGCGAGTTCTGGGACACCCTGTATACACAGGGTGGGTCATTTAACTTGAAACTTTGCAATATCTCAGTTATTATGCATTTTAGGAAAATATGTTTAAAATAAAAAAAAATTCTATAAAATATCACTTTTTTGGTAATAATTATCTTATTAAATTAAATCTGATTTTTTTAAGTACCCACGATTTTTTAACTAATATTTAAGTTTCCTTTGGTTTAAGTTTTATACATTATTTCATTCGGTGATAATTATCAATTGCGCACCATGGTCACTTTTTACCTGCCAGCAATAAAACCTTTTATTTAAAGGATTATTGTACTATTTTTAATAAATATACCTCATTTATGGTAAAAAAAAAATTGTTAATTAATTAATTTAATCCTCATTGAGGTATAAAAAATGGTATTAAGTTTTAAATAATAATTATTATTGAGGTATAAAGAAACTATTTATACATAGTTTAGCATTATTTAATCAATTTAGTTCGAAGATTAATTTGCAAACAAAAAGACCTCCTTTCGTCAAGCAGTTATTCATAATGGATTTTTTAACAGTGGAAGAAAAAATAAAAATGATTTTGATTTATGGAGAAGCAGGCAGGAATCTTGATGATGCTGTTAATATCTACGCTCAGCGTTTTCCGGAAAAAAATCGATCACGTACTTCATTTCACCGTACAGTCAAGCAGTTTACTACAAACGGGAGTGTTCAACCGAAAAAAAGAGTTCGTCGAGCAACAGTCACAGGTGGAAATAATGAAATTAATGTATTAGCAGCAACGGCCGCTAATCCTCATGCAAGAACACGAGAATTATCTAGAGATTTGGTAATATCCCAGAGCATTGTTAGCAGAATATTGAAACGAAATAAATTAATAAATAAAAAAAATAAAACTAAGTATTTTCTTCAAAAATTATTGGAGAATCGTATACAGAAGAAAAATCGAACGAAATTGATTTTTTCGTAAAATACACACTGAGATATTTCAAAGTTTCATGTTAAATGACTCACCCGTTTTTGGTATTTTACCGTTAAGTGGAGACTTTCTCATTCAACGCTTTTAATAATGCCAAATGCTGTTTTGAATTTAGACGACTATTTCGTTTTATGATTTTTACTGGATTAAAATGCTTACAATTATCACGTAAATCACTACTTAAATGTGTATTTATTGTATTTAATAGGGAACAATTTATATTTACAGGGACTGTGTGCAATTTATTTCCACTGTTTATTGGGAAACCGGTAAAAACTCAACCCAGGATTTTCTCTTGAAAAACACACAACACAACAAAAGTTCTATCAAACTTCACCCTATACTTGAATTTAAAAAAAATTACTATGATCTTATAAAACATCTTCACGTCAGTGTTTTCTTTGTTTTCGATCACTTTGTAATCATGATTTAATGAAGAAAATACTTCATTGCAGCTAAAGACATCAAAAAACACTCCTGTTTTTTTCAATTCGACAGTCAAAGTTCCTTCAGTTACATAGGGGCTTCTGTTTATATAAAAATATTGTTTTGTGCCATTATATCTTAAAATAAATAAATTAAGTATAAATATAATTATATTTTAAATAAAAAACAAATACTCGAACAAATTGTTGTTTAAACTAAAGCATTTTCCAAATCTAGTTTTAACTGGAACAAAACCATCACAGCATGGAAAATCATTTTCGATACTATTAAAGTAGCATTTGCTGAAGATATCTGCACAGTTGCTTCTTAGCTAAAAATATTTTTTCCTATATTTCTCCTAGTTTTTTTAATATGTGGGTGAATATATTGAGATGTCCCCCAAGTGTAAATGATTATTTTTTATTTTTGGTTGTTTCACTGTTAGTCTAGAATGGGGTTTTTGGGAAGCCACCAGGTCTAGTAATAACATAACATAAGTGGTTCGGCACTAATGCAAGAGTTTTAAGAAATCATACATTTTAAAAATTAGAGCTTCACGGAGGTTAGGATTTCGTATGTTTTTTTAAACATCCCTTTGTATATTTAAAATAAGTTATTGTATCTTTTGACACCTTAATATTTTTTAAAAATACAAATGTATACTGAAAGAAATATATGTTTGTTTTAGCAATGTATGTGGTAGTCTATATATGAAACATAAAATATATTTACCTTAACCATTTTTATATTTAGTTTTAACATATTATGTTAAAACTAAATATAATATATGTTTGTTTTAGCAATGTATGTGGTAGTCCATATATGAACCACATACATTTGCTAAAACAAACATATATTTCTTTCAGTGTACAATGTACATACATAAAATATTTATAAAAAAAATCTACTTACTAAGATATCACACTTCACGGTGGATAGGTTTTTAAAAAGCAAATTAATGATCTTAAACTTTTGAATTATAAAACAGCAACACTCTCATCTGCATATAAATTCTAACTGACCTTCAGGAATCACATGCATTATAGATGTCGTAAACAGAGGTTTTTGCTTAATTAAAATGAATAAAGCGCCATCCGTTGCATAAAATTTAAAGCAAAAACAGATTCACGGAGGAAAGAATCAATTTTTGTAACACCTACATAAATTGTTATAAAAATTATTTCTTTTAATTTTTATTAATATTTTATATTTGATTCGATTGCTTTGGATGTGTTCAATTTACTTAGTGAACTGATATTTTTAGAATGCTTTTACTACCTCAGATATTTGAAAACATATAGGTTAACCCAGAATGAGTAACAGTAACGGAGGATAGGTTTGAGACTTTTAAAACATTGTAAAAAATAATTAATTGCGGTTAAAAATCTGGAACCTGAGCTGTAATATCTACTTAATTATGAAAGATCAAAACACAATAAAAGTGTAGGTCAAACTCATTTAGTTTTATTAAATATCACGGGGTAACATCATCGGGGGACATTTCGTGAGATTCACCTATGTAACTTACTAAGTTTGTATAATAGGAATAATTATTGGTTGCCATGCTCTCTAGATCTCTTTGAGATAATGAACCATCGAAAAATGCTAGGTTTCTGATGGAGTCCACCTTATCGTTCCTTCTGGTGTCATTGACAAACCACCTTAAAAAATTTATCCATGTATATACAGGGTGATTCACCTAACTTATTCATTAGAAGTTTATGGAGAACGAAAAAAATTGATTTAAAATTTGTATAGCAAGTATAAGGAAATGTCAACTATTTTTTAAAGTTGTTTTCCATCAACTTTGGTTTTTCAAATGAAACCATAAAATTATTATTTCATTTTTAAATTCTACGTAAAATTTCAGAAATACGAAAATTTGTTTTTTTATCAGTTTTTGAGATATTTAAATTTTTTTGAAAATTTTGACAGGTGGATGGTATAAAGTAAGTGAAAACCTTGTAGGGTAAACCACATAGTTATTGGACACTTATATTATTTATTTAAAATTTATATAAATTTCTTATAGAGATGACCTCAATTTTTTACTGATTGCACAACACACTTAGTTTGTAACTTAACTAGGACTTATGTCCATCCACAAACAGGATTACTGTTATAATAAATTATAGTTGTTGGACACTAAGAAATACAGTTATTGGACACCTGTCCAATAACTAGTCAAACCCAACCAAATATTCTTTGTAAATAAAATTAAATAACACTATTCTTTATATAACTATTAATACAATAAAAATGATGATTTAAGGAATACAGTTATTGGACATGTCCAATAATAGAAATTTACATTTTTTACCAACAAGTAATTGGACACTGGCCATTTTACTGTTTGTTTTCAGAATTAAAATTAAAACGCATTAAAGTGACAATGTTTAAACAATGAGGAACACATTTATACCACACACTGATATGTCCACTTTTTATAAATATTTTTTATTGTTATTTAAACACAGCCCTGCTCTTACCAAAAAATTAAAATCTTACCCACCAAAGTAACGAGCGAACTTGTTTGTCCTATATTGAACCCAAAAAAAGTAGTTTTATATTATTATCGACTGAGATATTTATAATTGTATACAGCGCCATCTAATGATTTGACTTTAAGGTAACTATTTATAGAACTCTTGTTTTTACAGTATTAACGTTAATTGTCCAATAACTATAAAGTTCCGATAACTGTCTAGTTTACCCTAATAAATTTGATTTGATAATTAATTTTATTTAAACGTTTAATCTTAGGAACCATTTAATAGATTTTAGATGAAATTTTTAAGTTGGCACTCCTTATAAATAGGCACCCATCAATTTGACATCAAAAAGTAGTATACTTAATATCCTTGACAATGGTTTTTGTTCAATGTTGATAACTTTTTTTAAGATAAACCTAACAACAGTATCAGCACGTTCAAAACCATACAAAAAAATGAACTGTTATAATTTTCTTACTTGTGTGAATGTTTTGAAATTTCCTCATTATTTTCTTTTTCACAAACTTGCACAGAAGGAAAGGGCGTTTTCCAATTTAAATAAGACGTGTCCACAGTATAGGATATTATTTGTTTGTTATAGTCCACCATTGTTGTGTAAATTGTCCAATAGGCGCAGATCTACAAAAATATTTTGTTTGTCTCAAAACCCTCAAATTTTGTCACGAAACATATGCTTTGGGGTTCCATTCTTAGAGTTCTGGGACACCCTGTATTATAATTATTTTATTATACTTTTTAAAAATTATTTTTATTAACAATATTTTTTTTTCGAGTTTTTTTCTTACTCTTTTACTAACAAATCCTAAAAAATCAATAGCACAAAAATATGGTGTTAAAATTTTATAATAATATCCTTATTAGTTTTTTCTTAATGGATTTTGGCCACTCAATAAAAAATCCGCTGATTTTTAAATTAACTTTGAAAACACCCTGCAACTTACCGTACATATTGGTATACAAATAACCCAAAACAACTTTTCTGTCCAATGTATTTTATTTCGCACCAAATAGTGGACGCCTGTAATGTAGGCGTTACGTAAATATTCCTTTAAAATCATCCTCAACTTTTATTAAAGCAACCACTGTTCAATCTGATAGTCCACACACGATACAACGAAAAATATATATTGATACACACTCAACTAATTTATTATTTATTAAATAAATTTGTTGAATTATTAATTTCGAATTTAACATGTCTACAGATAATAAAAACATGTATTTTTGAAGTAACACTGCACGTTTTATAGAGAGTGTTAAATTTAAAACTTACCTTCATAAATAAATAATACTACAAAAGTGGTAAATCAATATGTTCGGGTTAATTGAAAAAAAGCACAGTTTTGAAAATGAATTTATTCAAAATAATATTGAAGTGTTGTCATGTGTTAAAATCATGCGAATTTAAAAACAATTAACAAATATAAAGTGCATGTATTTCTTTAAATTAATTATAAATGGGTCCCATGTTCACTTATTTGATGATTAAAACTTACAACAAAACTTCGAAAAATTGCGATAAAATCCCTGTAACGCATATGCCAAATTAAAAGTAAAAACTAACAACTACGTAAATAATTAAGGTCCTTTTATTTATTAATTGATCGTTTTTGAGTATGGATAGTATTGTTTGGGGGAACCAAAGAATATTATTAACACAACAAAATTTACACTAAAGATAAAATAATAATAATAATAACAATAAAAAAATAATGTCACAGCATGGTGTGTTGTGTTTGTTTTAGTTTGGTGTGTGGAGCGCTTTAAAGCGTTAATTAGCAGGTCCGCTAAATTTTAACCTGTGCCCCGACCACTTTTAATTTCATAATAATATCTTTATTAGTTTTCTTTAATGGATTTTGGCCACTCAATAAAAAATCCGCGGATTTTTAAATTATTGCCCAACTTTGAAAACACCCTGGTCTTTATAAACTTACTGTGCATAGTGGTATACAAATAACCCAAAACAACTTTTCTGTCCAATGTATTTTATTTCGCACCAAATAGTGGACGCCTGTAATGTAGGCGTTACGTAAATATTCCTTTAAAATCATCCTCAACTTTTATTAAAGCAACCACTGTTGAATCTGATAGTCCACACACGATACAACGAAAAAATATATATTGACACACACCCAACTATTTTATTATAAATATTTTTGTTGAATTATTAATTTTGAATTTAACATGTCTACAAATAATAAAAACATGTATTTTTGAAGTAACACTGCACGTTATATAGACAGTGTTAAATTTAAAACTTACCTTCATAAATAATACTACAAAAGTGGTAAATCAATATGTTCGGGTTAATTGAAAAAAAGCACAGTTTTGAAAATGAATTTATTCAAAATAATATTGAAGTGTTGTCATGTGTTAAAATCATACGAATTTAAAAACAATTAACAAATATAAAGTGCATGTATTTCTTTAAATTAATTATAAATGGGTCCCATGTTCACTTATTTGATGATTAAAACTTACAACAAAACTTCGAAAAATTGCGATAAAATCCCTGTAACGCATATGCCAAATTAAAAGTAAAAACTAACAACTACGTAAATAATTAAGGTCCTTTTATTTATTAATTGATCGTTTTTGAGTATGGATAGTATTGTTTGGAGGAACCAAAAAATATTATCAACACAACTAAATTACACTAAAGATAAAATAATGATAATAACAATAAAAAATAATGTCACAGCATGGCGTGTTGTGTTCGTTTTAGTTTGGTGTGTGGAGCGCTTTAGCAGGTCCGCTAATTTTTAACCTGAGAACCGACCACTTAAAAAAAAAAATAGAACAAATCCTAAAAAGTGTCATAATTAAAAAAATGTAAACGAGTTTTTTCTTACGTTTTTACTAACAAATCCTAAAAAATCAATAGCACAAAAATATGGTGTAAAAATTTCATAATAATATCTATATTAGTTTTTTTAATGGATTTTGGCCGCTCAATAAAAAATCCGCTGATTTTAAAATTAATGCCTTAACTCTGAAAACATTCTGGTCTTTATAAACTTACCGTGCATAGTGGTATACAAATAACCCAAAACAACTTTTCTGTCCAATGTATTTTATATCGCACCAAATAGTGGACGCCTGTAATGTAGGCGTTACGTAAATATTCCTTTAAAATCATCCTCAACTTTTATTAAAGCAACCACTGTTGAATATGATAGTACACACACGATACAACGAAAAAATATATAATGATACACACCCAACTATTTTATTATTTATTAAATAAATTTGTTGAATTATTAATTTCGAATTTAACATGTCTACAAATAATAAAAACATGTATTTTTGAAGTAACACTGCACGTTATATAGAGAGTGTTAAATTTAAAACTTACCTTCATAAATAATACTACAAAAGTGGTAAATCAATATGTTCGGGTTAATTGAAAAAAAGCAAAGTTTTGAAAATGAATTTATTCAAAATAATATTGAAGTGTTGTCATGTGTTAAAATCATGCGAATTTAAAAACAATTAACAAATATAAAGTGCATGTATTTCTTTAAATTAATTATAAATGGGTCCCATGTTCACTTATTTGATGATTAAAACTTACAACAAAACTTCGAAAAATTGCGATAAAATCCCTGTAACGCATATGCCAAATTAAAAGTAAAAACTAACAACTACGTAAATAATTAAGGTCCTTTTATTTATTAATTGATCGGTTTTGAGTATGGATAGTATTGTTTGGGGGAACCAAAAAATATTATCAACACAACAAAATTTACACTAAAGATAAAATAATAATAATAACAATAAAAAAATAATGTCACAGCATGGCGTGGTGTGTTTGTTTTAGTTTGGTGTGTGGAGCGCTTTAGCAGGTCCGCTAATTTTTAACCTGAGAACCGACCACTTAAAAAAAAAAAATAGAACAAATCCTAAAAAGTGTCATAATTAAAAAAATGTAAACGAGTTTTTTCTTACGTTTTTACTAACAAATCCTAAAAAATCAATAGCACAAAAATATGATGTTAAAATTTCATAATAATATCTTTATTGGTTTTTTTAATGGATTTTGGCGTCACAATAAAATATCCGCTGATTTTTAAATTAATGCCTTAACTTTGAAAACACCCTGGTCTTTATAAACTTACCGTGCATATTGGTATACAAATAACCCAAAACAACTTTTATGTCCAATGTATTTTATTTCGCACCAAATAGTGGACGCCTGTAATGTAGGCGTTACGTAAATATTCCTTTAAAGCAACCACTGTTGAATCTGATAGTCCACACACTATACAACGAAAAAATATATATTGATACACACCCAACTATTTTATTATTAATTAAATAAATTTGTTGAATTATTAATTTCGAATTTAACATGTCTACAAATAATAAAAACATGTATTTTTGAAGTAACACTGCACGATATATAGAGAGTGTTAAATTTAAAACTTACCTTCATAAATATTACTACAAAAGTGGTGAATCAATAGGTTCGGGTTAATTGAAAAAAAGCATAGTTTTGAAAATGAATTTATTCAAAATAATATTGAAGTGTTGTCATGTGTTAAGTTAAAATCATGCGAATTTAAAAACAATTAACAAATATAAAGTGCATGTATTTCTTTAAATTAATTATAAATGGGTCCCATGTTCACTTATTTGATGATTAAAACTTACAACAAAACTTCGAAAAATTGCGATAAAATCCCTGTAACGCATATGCCAAATTAAAAGTAAAAACTAACAACTACGTAAATAATTAAGGTCCTTTTATTTATTAATTGATCGTTTTTGAGTATGGATAGTATTGTTTGGGGGAACCAAAGAATATTATCAACACAACAAAATTTACACTAAAGATAAAATAATAATAATAATAACAATAAAAAAATAATGTCACAGCATGGTGTGTTGTGTTTGTTTTAGTTTGGTGTGTGGAGCGCTTTAGCAGGTCCGCTCCGACAATAATGATTGCAGAAGTCGTCTTTCTCTGGTCACACAGGCGCCACATGACATTCAAACCGTGTCGTCGTCGTTGTTGTGGTTTTTAGTTGTTTTTTTTTAGTTGCGAAATTCGCATTTAGGGTTTTCAAACGTCATGGACCATGTGGTTGTATACTGCTACTGCTGCTGCTGCGTTACTGACAATTTGACAATCGACAATCAGATCATTCACTTGCAGATTTTTCAGTTGACCGCTCCCGCGATTCTATTTGAACTTGTCCTTCTGAAAAAAGAAACAACGTTTTGTTTCTTTTTCTTCTCATAAAAAAACGATTTTGTCAATTGTTACTGCAAAACACAGGTAATGTGTGTAGTTGCAGTTATGAGAACTGAAAGTTGGTAAAAATAACTCTGGGAGATCAATGTATTAAACCGTGAAAAATGTGAGAAACAACCTACATTAATTTAAGAAAGTTAATAAACTTTTAAAAATAGAAGTAAAGTTCGAAAAAATGTTAAAGCGTTTAGAAGAAATGAACAAAGAAAACTCACAATTACGAAATGAAATGAAAATCCTAAAAAAAGATCAAGAAAAATTAAGAAAGAACAAAAACAGCCACATAGAAATCAATAAATCCAAGCTGGTAAATACAAGCAAATACTTATAAATATTGGAGAAAAAACAGAAGTACAAAGAATAGGAAAATATAATAATAAACAATTAATAGAGGTATTTTTTTCCCCAATGAAAGCTAAGGAAAAATTTTTATTAAATTATAACATTAAAAAAGGAATAAAAAGAAGTGACATTGGGCAGGATGAAAGTGAAGACATTATCTTAAACCATGACATGACTTTTGAAAATCAAATGCTCTTTAAAAAGGCAAGGGAACTAAAAAAAGAAATAAAATTTACGTTTGTGCGGTTTAATAAAGGCAAATACTCATGATAATGAGAATGAAAAAAAATAATTTCAATTTTCAAAACTATGATAGTGTTTTTAGCTGCAGAAAAGGTAAAGGAGGTGGAGTAGACACCTATACATCAAACTGACTAAATACAACAATAGTTATTGAATACATGGACAATATATTAATATATAAACAAAATACAACAATAATTGGAGATCTAAACACAAATCTTTTAGAACCAGATCAAATAACAAACGACTATATTGATACACTAAAAGAAAAAGACTACAAAATTAGTAACAAAAAAGCAGAAACCAATGTAACAAAATAAATCAAATTACCGAAAGACACATAATAATTAACCATGCTATATCAAATATTAAACAATAAAATCATTTTTAAACACTTCATAATAAAGACAGAAAAGGAACAAAACAAATATTATACACACAAAAAAAAATTAACGACATAAGTTTCACTATTTTATTTGTTTTTAAAAAAATTAACAATTGTTTCATCAACAATCAAATAACTTGCAAAGATTGTCCGAAAACATATGGGGCATTCCACGCCAAATCGGATGGTTTAAAATTTTTTTTTTGATTTCTCCAATTTTTTTATTTTTTTGTACTCCTTGAAAGAGCTTTCTTGAGATTTTTTTGATCACGGGTTCAAAAGCTGCCTTTTTTGTTTTTCGCTCATAACTTCTTAATAAATGGTCCAAATCAAAATGTTTTTTAAAAACGCTTTAAATATTTTCAATATATTTTTTTTCGAAAAGTAAATTTAAAAAAGAAAATTTTATATAGAATGAACATTTTGATTTGGACCATTTTTAAGAAGTTATGAGCGAAAAACAAAAAAAAACAATTTTTTTTTAAATTTGATATCTTTTGAACCCGTGATCAAAAAATCTCAAAATTTACTGAGAAAGCTCTTTCAAGGAGTACCAAAAAATATAAAAAAAATTGGAGGAATAAAAAAACCATCCGATTTGGCGTGGAATGCCCCATATATAGGCCAAACTGGACTAAACTTTAATACACGAATTAAAGAACACAAGAAATTTGACGATTATTTTAGAATCTTATATCTAGCCAATAAAGGCACCAAACGAAATCTTCTGGAGTATTTGGAAATTAATAAACTAAAGAAAAAATCGGATATTGTTCTTAATGAAGAAGTTGAAACCAACAACTCTCCTTTGCTAAATTTAATTTAAAATGTATACCGTTAGTACTAAAAAAATAATATTTATTAATATTGTAAAATTATATTAGATAAGACTTTCCAAATCCATAGTTTTTCCAAAATTGTGTACGTTTTATTAATACCCTCAGATATATTTTTTATTATTTTTTTAAATACCTGCATTAGCTAATACATTGTGACCCATTTGTTTGCGACTCACCCGTGTAAAATCTTTATTTATTGTGCGATTTTAACCGGATTTGTTTTGTAGGGTAGATTTTGATAAACTGTATTTTTGGAGCCATATTTGTGCAAAATACAAGGCCCACTATGTCAGTTTTTAAGAGTAAATTTTTAAGAATTCATATTAGCGATTTTTTTTTTAACAAAATCTAAGCACGGCACTGGATTCATTACCCCTCAAAACGACCCTATACTAAATTTTATTGAAAAATTTTAAGTAGAAATATGCCCAATAATAACTACAAAAATTTATTTTTTTAAGTTATCCATGTAAAAGCATTAAAATAAAATTAAACTAATAGTAACATGGTGCTATTACTATAAGTTTAATTTTATTTCAATGTTTTTACATGGATAACTTAAAAAAATAAATTTGTGTGGTTATTATTGGGCATTTTTCTACTTAAAATTTTTCAATAAAATTTAGTATAGGGTCGTTTTGAGGGGTAATGAATCCAGTGCCGTGCTTAGATTTGTTAAAAAAAAATCGCCAATATAAATTCTTAAAAATTGAAATATAAAGCCTTGCATTTTGTAAAAATATGACGTTTTTTGTTTTAAAAATACAGTTTAACAAGATTTTACAGGGGTGAGTGGCAAACAAATTTTGTACTTATTGTGAAGTAGCTACCGTGTAGCAAAACAATTGTAATTAAAAAACAATAGTGAAACGTTAAAGAGTGTTGTTTTTATTCATATATTAATAATATGAAGTAGCATTAAGTAAAGGTGGAAACAATCAACAAAACAAAAATAGGGAAAACATAAGAAAACAAAAAACAAAAACAAGAACCAGTCAAAAACAGCTGGTGTATGAGGGAATAAGGAAATATAACGAGTTACCAGCAAAAATAAAGGAACAACAAACCAAAGATTTAAAAAAAGTGATTGAAGAAAATATAATTAATTTAAGAGATAGAAATATTCAATTTTATTCGTAAAAAGACTGTAAATATGCAGATATTATTTATCTGTAGGAGCCCATTCTAAGTAATAAAAAATAAACTAAAAACAGGATCATGAAATTTTTTCACTGCGCAAATAATATAGTGTAAAAATTTCAAAAAATTGGTAATTATAATTATGTTTTTAAAAGCAAAATTAGTTCTTAATAAGTATACTCACACGTAATCAATATGGCTGGGAGAACTGGGCGCTGGGCTGGTAGAAAGCCGACCTGTCGCCCTGATAGGTGGAGTCCTGCGACAGCAGCCCGTCCATCTGCGACTGGTACTCGGCCATGTACGGGTCCTGGCTGAGCTCGGCCTGCGACAGCCCGGGCTGCGACAGGCTGAAGCCCGGCTGCGACAGCCCCGGCTGCGACATGCCCTGCGTCAGCTGCAAGCTCTGGCTGAACGGCTGCGTCTGCTCCTGAGACAGTCCCCTGACCTGCAAACATTCAAACACCGAGCTCGATCAACCGACGAAACTTTAACTGGAACTGTAAAGTGTATTGCCGAAATCTATGCCACGTGGATAGGGTTTTAAAGTGTGAAAAAAACGGAAAAATTGGGGAAAAACTGTTTTTTGTTTTTTTCCCAGGCCTCGGAAAAATTTATTTTTTTCTGGAAAATATTCAAGTTTGAAAAAGTAGCAATCAACAACGTAACATTATTTTAATTTAAAAAAAAATCCTTACAGAAAAAAAAATAAAACCAAACATTGAATTAAATTAAGTTGGGTCTTTTTTGCAAAAAAAGTCCATAAAAAAATATCCAATTACAAAATATTTAATGATTTATAAAGATAAATTACAAAATACAAATAAAATGGAAGTTTGTATGTAAATACAGCATAAATATGTTCTTACTTTTCTTACTGAATTAAAACAAAAGAAATGATAATTATAATCATAATATTATGATTATTATACGGCTGAAGGACTACGGTCAATAGCCTTTGAACTTGGTTTTTTTTGATTATTATATCAGTGTAAAAAACGGAAAAAGGAAAAATTGCGGTTATCAAATAATTAAAAAAAAACTAAAAACCTGTCAAAACCAAAAATAATTATAATTTTGTTATTCTTGATAATTTTGAAAAAATTAAGTTTCCCATGTAAACACACATTTATCTACATTTTCATCCAATTTGTAATTTTTTTCTCCTTTTAGATATTCATTTGTTTTTCTTATGGCATTGGAATTTTACATTTTTGGATAAAAAAATCAAGGATAAATTATCCTTGATTTTTTTATCCAAAAATGTAATATATGGATAATATAATGTACCATTATAAAAACAAAGGATGATGATGGTAACTCAAAATATATAAATTAATGTGTATGTTTGCATTTAAAACTTACTTATTTTAAAAATTCCCAGGAATAACGCGGTTATAAAGATGTCTGGTTTTAAAGTGTGTTTAGTTTAGTACAAATACATTGAGCTAAATTGAATTAAATTGATTTATAAAATACCATTTAAATATACACCTAAAATAGTGTGATTTTACCTGTTTCACCTAAATTCTAATCTTTAATAGAAATGAAATTTTTAAAAAACTTTTGTTATATTATATATAAAATAACCTACCTTTTGCCTGGTGGGCGCCTTCCTGCTCCTGGGGTTCTGCTGCTGTCTCGCCTGCAGCGCCTGCTGGTGCTGGTTGTAGAAGCGCGGCGGGATGTGCGCCATGTTCATGAACATGCCGACCGGCACCGGCAGGTTTATGCCGGCCTGCGTTCTGTCCGCGGAAATGTAACTGATCGGATCGTGGGTGCGGCTGAACATGTCCAGCGGCATGCCGCGATTCGAAAAGTTGAACTGGCCGCCGTTGATCGCTTGATTGGTGCGATCGTAAACCGAACCTTAAATGACAAGTGGAGGTTTAACGGTTCAGGATAAATTAAAAAAAGAGAGAATATTTTCGTAATTAAAAGTCTATTAAGGATAGAGATGTGACTTGAAAAAAACGATTTTTTTTGTTTTTTCTCAAATGGTTTTTTTCGGTTTTTTTCAAGATTAGTTTCATTTGCCTATTTTTTATGTTTCCAGTCCAGGTCATAGACTAAAATTAAACCACTAAATGACACGAGCAGGGTTTTTTCTGATTTGGTCTTACTCTCTAAAAATTAATTATTCAAAAATGACCAGTTTTCAAAGTGAAAAAGCAGTCAGTAGTCCAAAGCAATTTGCATTCTGGACTAGGGTTTTAAAGTTTCGGAAAAAAATATACACATTTAAAAAAAAGTAGCAATGAACAACATTATTTTAATTTAAAAACACATGTTTATTGCAAAAAAATAAAACCTAACATTGAATTAAACTAAATTGATTTAAGAAAATAAACGTAAACGTTAAATATACTGTTGGTTGTTTTTTTTTGCAAAAAGCAGTTCATTAAAAATATTCAACTACAAAATTATAAATGATTTATAAAGTTAAAGTACAAAATCGTAATTTTATAAATCAAAGTGTCAAATAAAAGTTATGTTAATACAGCACCGAATATGCTTTTTGCGGCATGGTAGAATATTCTTACTAAATTAAAATAAAAGGAATAATTATTATAATCATAATATTATGATTATAATCAGTGTGGGAAGTTCACTTTTTTCTCGGTATCAGTGTATGGATATTATCCGTAAAAATTTGGAAAATTGTCTTTTGCATATTTCGTAGCTATTACCCTTTGAATAAAATTTTAAAAATAATTAATTTTTCTGAAAATTTCATATTTTTTTGTTTTTTTCCGAAAAAAAAAACACGGAAATTTTAAAACTCTATTCCGGACATTAAACAGTTTTTGAGATATAGTTAATTTTCCATATAATATGAAATTAACAATATCTCAAAATCTGTTCTACTTTTATAAGTTTCAGCGGACAATTTTACATACGAATTGACTGCTAATTGTTCGGAATGCAAATTGCTGTTGACGAGAATTATTAGTGGCTGTTTTTTGGCTATGACAATTGGTCATTATTTACTAATTAATTTTTAGAGAGTACCTATAATAGACTTCAAGAAGTTTTACATTGTTATTGGTTTCTTATGTGGAAACTACCAAATAATAATATTTTTTTTACCTCCGTCTCAAAATTTTCAATAATGGAAAATGTAATATATTCTAAATTTTATTTTATTATTAATATACATTTTGCTCAAAATTTCATATTAAAAAAATACTCAATTTTTTAAGATTGATGTTATTTATTGACAGAATATGCTTTATTGTAGCGGATTTGAAAAAAAAATACGAAAAAAAAAAACGTTTTTTACATCTGTTATTAAGGAGATTCGGGCACAATATTAGTCGCTATGAGAAAATGTTGAAAAAACGACATTTACAAAGTTTTTAGAAAGATTGACCGTCTGGTTTCCGAGTAAAAAATTATTAAAGTTGCTAAGACTACACGGGATATTATCGCTAAACTATTTTGACAAAAATGTTTATGCCAGTTCTACAGGTATAAGTGCATAAGAGAAAAAAAATTATATCTTCTAACGTGACATTGAAAAATTAACGAATTTTTGTTCCTGTATGCATTTATGTCCGTAGTAGAAGTGCCATATAAATTTTTGTCAACTTTAATAATAAACGATCATGTTGACAGTGTTCAACCAAAATTATCAATCTGTCATTTTCGTCTAGAAGATTCGGCAACACGTGATTATCTAGGGTTTGACTTATTTGGTGACCTCCATAATTTCGTTTTTAAAGTAAATTATAAAAAAAAAACAATTCCTTCTAGCTTTTATGGTTTTCTTATCTTTGTTTCTTCTCGAGACCTTCAATATTTTCTGTTGCTTTAATTTTGGTTCCCTTACCTTTTTTTAAATATTTATTCTTTGTAGTGGACTTTTGTCTTACAGAACATAATTCGTTTTCACAACTCATTTTGAGATTTTAAATAACACTGCATAAAGAAATGTCACTGCAACTGTCAAAAGCGAAAAACGTTACCATAGAAACCCACTATCAATAATTCGCAATGTTGTCGCGTTTAATTTTTCTCGCCAGATAGATTTTGAGTTACCGGCAGTATTTTTTGTTTTTCTATGGCCGCCATATTGCCATTTTACATGGTTAGATCAAAAAATCCAACGATGCGTCAAACTTTATATTATGTTATGGCGTACATTATAAAAAGAAGAAATTGCATGCAAAATTTAGTTTTTTTCAAAGTTTCACGATTTTTGAATTTGACACGTTTTCAGTTTTTTTCCAATTTTTAAATGTCATTTTAATATACTTGTAAATAAGATACTTCTCTCTAATTTAACCAACCTTCTAGCTAGAGATGTAAAAAAACGGTTTTTTTTCAGATGTGAAAAATCGCCAAAATTGTCTCACGTAATTAATGAACAGCCCCTTTTTGAAAAATCAAGCGCTGAATCAAAAATATTATATGTAGTTACTTTTTTTAGGACCAAATCAAAACAAGCGCGGCCCTTATTGGTCAAATCGGTGGTTGTGGCGCGTGCATAGCGGGAGACTGTATTTACATTTACTAATTGTCATTTAGTGGGTAATTTTAGTCCATGGACACATAAAAAATTAGGCAAATGGGACTAATCTTAAAAAAAACCTAAAATGTGAAAAAAAAACCATTTGAAAAAAACAATGAAAAAAAACCTGAAAAAAAAAACGGACCGTTTTTTTTTCAAGTCGCATCTCTACTTCTAGCTCTTTAAATGAAAAAAAAATCTCAGAAGTATTCACATAGAAGGATACTTGGTACACCCTGTATAAATGGGTAATTTCAACAAATATCCAGAGAAGTTGTCAAAAAAGTACCCCCGGTACAACTTCTGCTGATATTTGACCCAACTATATTTTAGCAGTATCATTTAACAAACAATAAACAAAATAATTTTTTCGGGGATTTACCGAAACCCCATTATGTCCGTTTTTTTCAATTTGTCTTTCGGAAAATTCAGTAAACATAATTTAAAAAAATATTTATTGAAAAAGAATATATTACCTGGCACCATGGCTTCCCTAGCGTCGAACATCGAAGTGGTCATGAAATGAGAGCCGGGATTGTCCGAGTTGGTCAGCTTTTTGGGCTTCGCGAACTGTATGACGGACTCCTTGAGGTTGGTGAGCGGACCCTCTACCAAAACCTTCTGCTCCTTGTAGAACGACAGCAAGTGATTCCAGAGCGGTTGCTTGGACAAAACCTTGGGATTGCCGACGATGATGATGCCGTATTTTGATCTAGTCAGAGCGACGTTCAGACGTCGCGGGTCGTTGAGGAACCCGATGCCTTGGTGCTCGTTCGAGCGCACGCAAGACATGATTATGATGTCTTTCTCGCGACCCTGGAAAGCGTCCACGCTCGCGATCTCGATCTCTTGGTAGAGCTTGTTGTGCAGCGAGCCCTGGTACTGCATGTATTGCACGAGGTAAGCTCTTTGGCCCTCGTACGGCGTTATCACGCCGATTTGTTCGGGTTTCACGCCCGAGCGCAAGAATCTGCAAGTGGTAGTTATTTTACAAGGAGCCAAATGTCCTTTATGCGGCCAGTCTGTTAGTCTAAGATCCCAAGTAAGGTCGACCTTCACCCATCTGCTTACCAGATGAAAATTATATTTTATCAAATAAAATATGTTTCTGAACATAAACCAATAGGGTTGCCATAAAAAATATGATCAAGGCTAGCTATAATAAATAAAAAATTAAAAAAAAAATAATTAATTTTTTAAATTTCACCGACTTGCTTGCCAAATGAACGAAATTCCAATGGAAAGCATACAACATACATAATACGTAATACATAATATGTAACTACCTTTTTCTGGTCCCTATTACCTGGTTGCTTTGTACAGGGTGATCCCCTATAATGTCGCCCCCCTTTAACTTTTTTATTTTAAGTGTCCCAAAAAATTTAAAAGTGTGGTTATGTAGGAACTAAAAAATACTTTTTTTCTACGTATAAAGAAAATTGGAAAATTGATAAGTATACAGGGAAAACAAAAAGTTTATTTTTTTCAATGGATCACCCTATATATGAATTTATTTTTCGATTCCTTGTAAAATTCTAAGCATATTTCATATATCATACCATATACCTAAATTCAACCGTTTCTGAAATATTTAAATTATTTTTAAGATAATAAGTTGAAATAGTTTGTTTTTCTCTGTCTGAGTACGCCATTTTTACTTATTTAACAACACTTATTGACATAATGTCACTATAGTAATTTATTTTCAATAAAAATTTTGGTATACTGAGGCTTCTTGATTTCTAACAGTTTAAAAAAACATTTAATGATGACATTTCGAATGCGAATATTTCAGAAACGGTTGAATTTAGGTATATGGTTTGTTATATAAATTATGCTCAGAATTTTACAAGGAATCGAAAAATAAATTCATATATACGGTGATCCATTGAAAAAAAATAAACTTTTTGTTTTTCCCTGTATACTGATCAATTTTCCAATTTTCTTTATACGTAGAAAAAAAGTATTTTTTAGTACCTACATAACCAAACTTTTAAATTTTTTGGGACACTTAAAATAAAAAAGTTAAAGGGGGGCGACATTATAGGGGATCACCCTGTACAAAGCAACCAGGTAATAGGGACCAGAAAAAGGTAGGCAACCTAGCTGTTACATATTCTGTATGTTGTATGCTTTCCATTGGAATTTCGTTCATTTGGCAAGCAAGTCGGTGAAATTTAAAAAATTAATTATTTTTTTTTTAATTTTTTATTTATTATAGCTAGCCTTGATCATATTTTTTATGGCAACCCTATTGGTTTATGTTCAGAAACATATTTTATTTGATAAAATATAATTTTCATCTGGTAAGCAGATGGGTGAAGGTCGACCTTACTTGGGATCCTCTACTATGTAGGGCAAATACAGACGAGCCACAAAAATCCGCATGAAATATACTATTTTTTTTCAAACGACGTCGTAGGGGAGAGTGGGGCAAAGCGGAATGAGGGGCAAAGTGAAATTTGTGATATGGCAACATTGCTTCACACTGACCTTGGTCAAAAAAACATGTGCTCTATTAGCACTTTATTGAAATACAGAAAGCGCCGATCGCTGAGTGCACGTATTTCTGATATTATGTGAGAATATAGAAATCCGGCATTTTTTGTTAATACTTTTAAGTGGCAAATTTATGTTTAATGAAGGATTAAGATAAAAATTGCTGTTTACTATTTTTAAGGTAAGACATATTTACACATATACTAGAATATTCAGACGCATCTTGCTATTGGTATATGTAAAATCACACTTGATGAGAAAATACCGAATGGGGTAAAGTGGAACTTGATTGTATGTCTGATGAAAATTTGTTTAGATATTTTTTTATAGTCTTCATATCAGATAAAAATATATTTCACTTTACCCCACGATATATTCCACTTTGTCCCATGAAACAAAATGAAATTAAAAAAAAACAATGATATTTGGAAAAACCATGATTCCAGAGTATTCAAATTTTTGTCATTTTTCAACAACATAATGACCATTTAATCAACAACACATAAGTGCCTTATTTTCACATACTATGACTACTATTTAAAAAAAAATCAAATATTGTTCCGCTTTGCCCCACTCTCCCCTACACATAAAATATTAAATTTTCCGTAAAAAATCAATTTGGTAAATGTTTGTTAATTTGTAAGTATTTTCTTTTTTCTTTTCAAAAATATTAATATATTATATCACGAGAACTATGAATTTAATCGGTTAAACTAGGCTCATTAGTTTTTTGTTTAGTTTTTCTTGGAAAATATTGAATGCAAAATAATTTAATAAAATCACGAGACCGCGTAGCGGTCGAGGGGTTTTATTTTTAATTATTTTGCATAAAACTATTTTCCAAAAAGAAAAATCAAATAAAAAATTTACTGAGCATAGTTTGACAGATTAAATTTATTGGTTGAGTGATATACGTCTAGATTATTTATCGAATTAAAGGAAACTATTTGACAATTCATAAAATCTGACGTATGTGTCAAAATTTATAAATATTTTTTTAAAGAAAATTTCATTAATTTAAGCTTTGTAATAAGTAATAATTGATATTTCGTAAACTAGATAACTTATATTTTATTGTTTTTTTAAATATGTTTGTTAAAACTTGTAAATAACACCATAAAATCGTATGGAGGCTAAAATTTAATCGCTGTTAAATAGTTCTAGTGATTTAATCGCTTATTTAAACGAAATTTATTCGAAAATTCAAGGCTTTTGATTGGTTCATTTTATAATGAGGGAAATAATCCGCATAAAATAAACTATTTTTTTTCAAACGACGTCGTACATAAAAACTATTAAATATTCCGTAAAAAATCAATTTTTAAACTTGGAGAATGGAGAATTTCTCATTTTTGTAAATATTTTCTTTCTTTCTTTAATCCGCATAAAATGAATGTTGAATTTTTGTTAATTTGTAAATATTTTCTTTCTTTCCTTTCAAAAAGTTTAAACCATTTTTTTTCAAAAGACGTCAAATCAATTATTAAACTTGGAGAATGGTGAATTTTTGTTAATTTGTAAATATTTTCTTTCCTTCTTTTCAAAAAGTCACTTTAATCCGCATAAAATATACTAATTTTTTTCAAACGACGTAGTACACATAAAATATTAACTTTTCCGTAAAAAAAAAACAATTTGGTGAATTTTTGTTGATTTGAAAGTACACTCACAGGCAATAATCGATCCAAACAAATTTTCGATGAATTTCAATCGCAAATAACTTTTTTATTTGATGTCGGATTTAAACGAATATTAAATAATATTGTAGATAAATTAATGGACAATCGCTCACAATAAAAGAAATTACTAAAAAATAGAGGTACGTTTATAATATACAGGTTTAAACAAAAATATGTTTTTTTACCATAAGTTTAAGACGCTCTGTAGAGTGGCAAAACCGTATATTGTTCTAAATTAAGTTTTATTTATCAAGTCACATCTATTCTTAACAGTTTTCTTTTTGGTTCACCTCGATATATTTATTTTTGTGGAGAATATGGATTTTTTAAAAAAACATTGCAATTTCCAATATTTTTTCTGTTCAAAGAACTAAGGTTGCTATGGTCCATCCATAGGCTATGGAGAATGAAAGTTTTGTTGAATCATCCCATACTTGGACATGTCATACACGGCTTTCAAAAGCTATCAAATTGTTTTTTGCAAATTAATGTTTAAATTTTGAGGTGTCTTCTTACTTTAAAAAATGGTTATGTCTCCGACTGATGTTGCCAGAGCCATTAATTTAATCCAGGATGGACGGTCATAGTATTAAGTGGCAAGTGTTTTAAACGTCACAAGAAGTAAAGTACAAAGGGCAACATCAGTCGGAGACATTTTTAAAAGTAAGAAGACACCTCAAAATAAACACATTAATTTACAAAAAACAATTTGATAGCTTTTGAAAGCTGTATATGACATGTCCAAGTATGGGATGATTCAACAAAACTATGGAAGGACCATAGCAACCTTAGTTCTTCATACAGGAAAAATATTGGAAATTGCAATGTTTTTTTAAAAAAATTCATATTTTCCACAAAAATAAATATATCAAGGTGAACCAAAAACAAAACCGTTAAAAATAGATGTGACATGATAATTAAAACTTAATTTAGAACAATATACGGTTTTGCCACTCTACAGAGTGTCTTAAACTTATAGTAAAAAACATATTTTTGTTTAAACCTGTTATAAACGTACGTCTATTTTTTAGAAATTTTTAAAATGTGAGCGATTCTCCATTAATTTATCTACAATATTCTTTAATATTTGTTTAAATCCGAAATCAAATAAAAAAGTTATTTGCGATTGAAATTCATCGTATTTTCTAAAAGCTGTTAAAAATCGTACTCACTTTGTCGTAATTTTCTCCACATTGGCGGCTTCGGTTCTGTTCAGGTAACTGGTACCGGAACCGGCGATTTCCTCCTGCCCCTGCGTGACCAGGAAAAACATGGGCCTATCGATGATCGGCCAGGGAAAATCGACCTTCGTCAGCTTCCTCTCCTCCGCGCTGACCCCGTTCTGCAAGCTCCCCTCGTAGAAGAAGTTCGAGGGGAATCTCGACAGCTCCGGGTGCATCCTGTACTGCACCTCCAGTCTGAAGGGCCGTATGCCCAGCACCACCAGCCGCTCGAACAGACTTTGCGACAGGCCGGCTCTGGCGGCCTTCTTGCACATCACGACAGGGCCCAGTTGGCAATGATCGCCCACCAGGATCAGCTGTTTGACGCCCAGGACCACTGGCACCATGCACTCCGGCTCCGTGGCCTGACACGATAAATTTAGTTGGATGCGAATTTCACATTGCGAATGAGCAGTTTTAAGTTATGGTGACAGTAATGTCATCCTTTTTAAGTTTGATAATGACTAATGTTAAAACAGTTTAAGGGTTCTTATTCCCCTAAAATGACAAGTTTAAACAAAACTAAACCAAAGTATAATTGAATGATTTGGATATTTCTAAATGCAATGAAATTTTTATCTAAAATATTAAGAGTATTATTAGATTTAACATTTGTTTAACAGTTACTGTTTGTGTTCTTTATCAAGTTTTAAGTGAATGGCGTTATGCAACAGGGAACCATCCCTCATAATAAAAGCGGGATAAATGTATTAACATGATGAAATAAAACATGGAAAAAGTGGATGAAATGGTTATAAACCATCAGAGAAGTCGCTGATGATGTTGGTATATCGATTGTCTCATCCCATGAAATTTTTTCGAATGTTTTGGGTATGAAATGCGTGGCAGCAAAATTTGTTCTAAAATTGTTAAATTTTGAACATAATTTTTGGCCAAAAACAATTCTGTAATGATACCCCAGCCTCCATATTCGCCAGACATGCCTCTGTCTGACTTTTTCCTATTCCCAAAAATAAAGAGAACCTTAAAGGGCCGTCGTTTTGCAAGCATAGATGACATTAAAAGCGCATCGCTGAAAGAACAAAAGGCTATCCCAAAGATCGAGTTTTAGAAGTGTTTCGAGTATTGGAAGAAGAGCTGACACATTTGCATAATATCCAATGGGGACTATTTTGAAGGCGACAACATTAATGTAGACGAATAAATAAATATTTGTTTCAAAAAACGAATATTCCCGATATTTTCTGAACACACCTCGTATATTGAAATTGTGAAAGGTTATACAGCGCCAAGCGGCTTGGTTAACGTTACTTTGACTAAACGCAATATACTTATACTGCAACAAGGATCCATGCTACTTGGATCTGGTTTAAGTTGAAAAAATAATGTTGGAAAAAATTGACAAAATCAATATTTCCAAAAAAAATTAGAGAAGATCAGGAGGATCTTAGAGCTAAAATTAAGATTTAAAATCTATTTATCACCTTATTCCAAATGATGGTGTCCATGTTATAATAAAAATATTGGCAATAAGTATCAGTTTTATTTATTCTACAAGGGACCAACCAACAAATTTACTTATTTTATCGAAAATAATTAAAAAAATATTATAAGGAATAAAAATTTAGTACTAAATTAACGATTTGGAAATAAAATTAAAACGTCGAATCTATAATTAAGACCACAGTAATGAAGGAACATCGTAATTTTTCGGACGCTATTATCTTAGTTTTGCAACAGTGAGGGTTGGTTCCCTGTTGCATAACACCATTCAAGTATCCTTGACTCTTAGTCATGAAAACATATTTTCAATGAACTTTATTTTGGATATTTTTTTGGATAATTTGATATTTTTACTAAAAATTTACTGAATTGGGTAATTTTTAGAATTATGCCGTTTTTAATAAATCATCATATTTTTTAATCCAACTTTAATATGTATTTTATCGAAATTTCAAAGTAACATATTTAAAAATATGCTTTTGACATTTGTATAACATTTATTTTGTTTCAGACCTTTTAATTTATTTCGGTATTTACATGTTTTTAAAATTTGTGACCACAAATTGACTACTTTTAATAGATTTTTTTAAATGTATTAATCAAATTTTGTTCACACATTTTTAAATTAACTGTATTTTTGTAGGGTTCCATCTCCAAAGGGCTTAGCTTCCTTATAAAGCATTTTTTAACAAATTTTTTCTCATATTTTGCGCTGGAGAATCATATATTACTAAAATTAAAGTTTTTCTTTAAAAAAATTGTTCAATGAACTTTGTCATATGAGGTTTTTGGCTTTTTTGATATTCATACTAACGTCAATTCTTCAAAATTTGTTGGTTTTCATCCAAGTTGTGTATTTATTTTACCAGAACATCTTTTTAAAAATATAATTTTTGGGATTTATTAAAAATATTTTTAATTTTTAAAAGTTATAGGTTTTATTTCAAACTTATTATTTTTTAGTAAAAAAAACTTTTTTTTTTATTTTTTCTAAAATTGATTGAATTACGATATTTTTTAGTAATAAGTTGTTTTAAAAATTTGTGACCTTAACTTGACTGTTTTTGCATACTTCTTAAAATTTGTTTCGCCTAAATCAAACTTTTTACGAACATTTTTTTTATTGAAGTTTTTTATAGGAGTTTTGTGTGCGATTTTGATATTTTTAGTAAAAATTTACTGATTTTGGAAAAATCATTAGATGTTTTAAAATTTGACGGTTTTTATTTATAAAAAAAAAATGGGTCCAAAGATGATTTTTGACATTTGTATAAAACTCCACTTATGTTTATAGGTTTTATTTCAAACTTGACATGAAAACATATTTTCAATAAACTTTATTTTGGATATTTTTTGGATAATTCTGATACTATCCGTACACTGATATTGAGAAAAAAGTGAATTTTCGACGTTGAATATAATCATATAATATTATGATTATAATAATTATTCCTTTTATTTTAATTCTGTAAGAATATTCTACCGGGTCGCAAAAAAACATTCGGTGCTTTACAATTTAATTTAATTCAATGTATAGTTCATTTTTTTTAATTAAAATAATCAGGGCTCCCACGGCTAAATTACAAATTTTATTTAGGAATTTAGGAGGTTTTTTGTAAAATTTTAGGAGAAATAAAGTAAGGAAATGAATTTCTTTAATTAAACAACTCTTTACCACTTAAAAAATAAGAAAAAAATCATACTTCTTTTGTAAAAATAAGTTATATTGACTAGTTTTTTAGCCAAATGGCTCGACGAGTTTTTGTTTTAATAAAATTAAAAGTGAGTAAAATTACTACTTTTGAACATATCTGAGAAACATATATATAGAAATATAAATTTCACCAAACTTTTAATTTTATTTAAAAAAATGCGTCGATAGATTTAGTTAAAAAACTATGCCAAAATCAAATGATGTTATATTTATATTTTAAGAAATAATATGTTAACCGTTTAGTTAATAACTAACAGTAACAGTAACTAAATCGGTAAGATTAAGAATAGTCCAAAAGTAATATTTTTGATAAAATATTTAAAAAAATCAGTTTTATAGTTCTAAATGCATTTTTGTTAGAATATTTTAACTATTTTATGAAATATAATATTCATATTCTATAAAATAATTTATATCTTCTCTCAAAAATGTATTTTAAACTTTAAAATTGATTTTAGAAAATAAATTGCCAAAATTAAATTTTAAGACTTGTACTGTTCTTATTCTCACCGATTCAATTGTAATGTGGATCTTAATACTTAAAAATCTCATAACAAAATATGAAGTTTTCAAAATACAGCAAAACATTCTTTAGATTGTTTACTATTTTAGCTGTCATTTACAAGAAAATTAAAAATCCTTTTGTTTGATATAACACGGTATATTTTTGTCTAAAACAAACGAAATATGGCTAAAAATGACATTTTTGTAGAAGTTTTTGTTGTTGTTTTTTAAGGTTGTGATATTATATCATTTTAAAAAGAATTTAATAAAATAAAACTTAAATATATATATTTTTAAATTACCTACTTTTTAAAAAAGAATTTTGTTAGCACTACTTTAATTAAACGCAGTCAGGTTGGCCTATTTAAATTTAATTTTTAGAATTTTAGGAGTTTTAGTAGATTGAATGCAATTTTAGGAGAATTTTAGGAGTTTTCAAGATTTAAGCAAAATTTTAGGAATTTTATGAGTTTTAGGAGGTGTGGGAGCCCTGAATAATGTTAAGTTGTTGATTGCTACTTTTTTAAATGACTATATTTTCCAAAAAAGCCAATTAGTAGGTAAAAAATTCCTGCAAAGAAAAATTGGATTTAAAAAATTCTTTTTATTAAAATAATAAAAAAAAATTTTTTTTAAAAGACAATTTTTCAAGGCCCAATTTTTTAGTAACGCTTTAAAACGCAACTTTTCGCTCACCTGCATGCTTTCGTCGATCAAAATCGAGTGGAACTTCAAGCGCACCAGCCTCGGATCGCCCGCCCCCACGCACGTGCAGCAAATAACGTCCGCCGCCTCGAGCAGCTCCTTCTCCGCCAGCTTCTTCAGCATCCTGTACCGCTTCTCGTCCACGCTGCTCAACTCCCCGGTCTCGTCCTTGAGCTGCTGCAGCTTCTGCAGCTCCGTGTTGCCCTCCATCTTCCTGATCTGGTTGTGCAACGCGAGAAAGCTGACGGGCGAGTCTATCGCCTCGCGAGACTTCGCGCACAGCCGCACCACCTTCAAAGGAAATGCCATTAATTTTTATTTCAAAAATAAGGTAATTAGACCAGGGTCGATAATTTTTGAAACCAAAAAAAATAACAGTAGGATGAAACCCATTGAAAAAGGAGAAGAATATAATAAAAATGAAAGGAAAAATAAATTACGGGCGAACTGAGTTCGTGAAGTGGGAGGGGGGGGTTTAAGGGTAAAAAATGGTTTATCTCGATTTCCGGCAAAACTACAAGTCCTATGGAAAAAAGTTAAATGTCAAAGTTGTAGGTAATAAAAAGATCTACAACTTTTGTATTTACAATTTTTTCACGTAACCTCAAAAATTTATGTGAAAAATTCAAAAAACCAAGTTTTTGGTTTTTTATTTTTCTTTTTCAAAAAAAAAAAATTTTTTTCACGAAATTTGGTGAAAACTTACCTTTTTGTGTCCCAAATACACTGTAATTTATTTGATTTGAAATATTTATTATTTCGCCTTATTTTGAGTTAATATCAAAAAAGCACCCTAATTTTCAATCGAAAATTCTCGCGTCAAAATATCAGCTATTTTCAAAAAGTCGGTGTGCTTTTTGTTCGATGAACTCTCTACTTTCTGATGGTGTAAAAAAAATATACATTACTATGGTAAATGTTCTCAGAAAATACAAAAAATATTATAATGAATAACGTAATCAGAATGAAGTATCTAAATTCAATAGTATGATTTACATGTATTTTTATATTTTATGAGATTTTCTGACATAAATGTTATTAGAATTTAATAAATAAACTTTTTAACTAAAAAAAATTGCAACAATCAAATTTTTTTGATGAAATTGTACATAATGATTAAAATAAATTTTCGAATTCGAGTTTTTTTCGTTATTCATTATAATATTTTTTGCATTTTCTGAGAACATTTACCATAGTAATGTATATTTTTTTTACACCATCAGAAAGTAGAGATTTCAACGAACAAAAAGCATACCGACTTTTTGAAAAAAGCTGATATTTTGACGCGAGAATTTTCGATTGAAAATTAGGGTGCTTTTTTAATATTAAGTCAAAATAAGGCGAAATAATAAATATTTCAAATCAAATAAATTACAGTGTATTTGGGACATAAAAAGGTAAGTTTTCAAAAAGTTTCGTGGAAAAAAATTTTTTTTTGAAAAAGATAAAAATAAAAAAACAAAAACTTGGTTTTTTGAATTTTTCACATAAATTTTGAGGTTATGTAAAAAAATTGTAATCACAAAAGTTGTAGATCCTTTTATTACCTACAACTTTGCCATTTAACTTTTTTCCATAGGAAATCGAGATAAACCATTTTTTACCCTTAAACCCCCCCCCCCCCTCCCACTTCCCGAAGTCAGATCGCCCGTAATTTATTTTTCATTTCATTTTTATTATATTCTTCTCCTTTTCCAATGGGTTTCATCCTACTGTTATTTTTTTTGGTTTCAAAAATTATCGACCCTGGTCTATAAATAAACCAATAATAAAAAAAAGTATTATTTTATGTTTGAAAGTATTTTAAATCAATTTTAAGTAAAATATAAAAGTATTATGAGCCATTTCATCAGAAAAAAAATGCCACATTGGTTTTTCTCCTAGAACTACCTCTTTTAAATATTAAAATGAAGATATTAATATTCAGGGGAGACATTTTATTTAAAATCTTAAGACTCATGCATACTTGGTGTAGTATAATACACCTACTTGGTAAATTATAATTATATTAAGTTAAATAAACTTAAAATGGTTGGTTTTTTCACTTTAGTTTAAGTGAACTAAAGAGTTAAAAATCAGTCAAAAAAGGGTAAAAAATAACCAAAATTAACTTTTTTTAACCGACAGGTATATTAACCAAGAAGTTAAATTTACTTAACATAACGTTAAATTAACCATGATTTTTATTCCCACTTATTACAAAATAACGTTAATTTAAGGTTAATTTAACGTTATAGTACAATATAACTTAAGTAAATTAACCAGTCAGAACGTAAATTTAACGTTAATTGTTAACGTTAGTTGTGTTTTAAAAAAATTGATATTCATTATTTAGGATTTTTTATACGTAAATTTATAAAATTTGATTAAATTAAAATCGCTATTTTAAAATAGTTGGTTTGATTGAGGGTTTTAAATTTTTTTGTAAAAAAAACTTTATGAACATTGAAATTATGGAAAAATTTACACAAAATAATAACGTTCTTTCACATAACAAGAAAAATATTTATAAAATGAAGGTTTTTAACCAAAAAATGAGGTACACCAATGGGGTAGTTAAATTTTTTCTGACCTATACTTTTTATGGTTTTATTCAAGGCCTTTTGTAATTTTAAACACTTCTGTAAAATCGGAATTTCAATTTAGTTTACCGTTTTCGAGATATTTACAAAAAAAAATCTCCTAATTACGTCACTAGGCTATTGACAACGTTGCCAGCTTTTTCTATGGTTGCCAGTGTGTTTAGTTTAAGATACTTACGATAGATGGCGCCACGTTATAATATTTTAGTTTTAAAACCACTTGATCTATAATTTTAGTTGAGAAGAAGAAGAAGAATTGATTTTTTGACGTTTCTTTTTTTCGGGTTATGTTTTTTCTAAATTTAGATTATTGAAAATCAATGTTATTGTTATGTTATTTGTAATTGATATTAGATAAGTGATTTATTAATAACGGACTCCAAAGCAGAGGAATCTTGTGGAATGGTTGGTTACATTAAACATTGGAGCTTTTAAACAAATAAAGTAAGTACCTATAATTATAATCTTATTTTGTAAATGCATTTCATTAGTATAATGCCTAGTTCTTTATATTCTTTTAGATATATCTTGGACTTTATTTTGCCACTTTTTTCTATGAAATATATTGAACTCTGCTTTAGACAGTTATTAGGTACCTATTTATTAAATTTTATTAGGTTTCACACGGTGTTTCAATGTGTAAACCTATAAATAAAACTTTTAATTTCAGAATTTTCTTTAACCTCCTCTTCTTCTTTCACTCAACTGACAGTGACAGTATTTGTACATAACCTCTTCGGGTATTTTCTGACATAACCGAATGAAATCATTAACAAGACAACTTGACAACAGGGTAATTTTCAACCAATAGAAATCTTAGAATGTTGGTCACATGGCGAGGTTTGTGACGTCATAAAAATTTATATTTTTTGTAAATATCTCGAAAACGGTAAACTCAATTGAAATTCTGATTTCACAGAAATGTTTAATATTACAAAACGCCTTGAATAAAACCATAAAAAGTATAGGTCAGAAAAAATTTAACTACCCCATTAAGAGAAGTGGTGAATTTACCCAAATTAAAGGCCTTTTATTATGGAAGTGTCCAATCGATTGTTTCTTATGGAATATTGTGTTGGGGTAATAGCTCCTCTAGTAATAGAATTTTCATAGCACAAAAGCGTATTTTAAGGTCTATGTTAAACTTACCCTATAATAGTCATTGTAAAACTTATTTTAAATATAATCAAATTTTAACCGTCTCATGTATTTATATACTAGAATGTATAGTGTATGTCCGTCTTAATGTTAAAGATTTCAAAAAGTGCGGTGATATAAACAAATACGAAACAAGGAATACAAACAAACTCTACGTCCCCACACACAATTTAACGCAAGTACACAAAGGCCCAATAATAACAGCGATAAAATTGTATAACAAGTTACCTAGTAATATTATAAAATTAAATAACTTTCGTAAATTTAAAAATGCTGTATCTTCGTATCTAAAAGAAAGAAGTTTTTATTCTATTGAAGAATATTTTGAACAATAACTACAATTTTATCCTGTTATGCTAATATATGTTTTTTTAACAATATGTAAATGTTTACAATTCTATATGTTTTTTATATTATACAGGGTGTTATGTAATTAATGTTATATATTAAAATGGGTTGTTCCTTAGGGTCCATAAAGAAGCACCTGAAACTTTTTTTTCTAAATTCCAAAGTCTAAAAATAATTTATAATAACCTTTATCCTACCAAAAAGTACGCCACTGATCGACTAGTATTTATTATGTTATGGTTGGTAACAACCACAGACCTACAAACAAGATGGACCGGTTTATTTACATTGAAAAGAGTGGCCAGGAACAAAAATAAATATTTTCCCTCAGTTGTCACATTTGACTTTGAAGTTTCTATAATTTACGTAAAAGATACTTGGAATCCACAACCTTTAATTTTTTTTATTTGATTTTATAGTGAAAAATACCAATAGTGAGTGATATAAAAATGGTGAAGCAGTGCTACGTTTGTAAAAGACTTGGATCCAAGAATTTAAAACTTTCTTTTCATAGGTTAGTTTATTTACAAAACAAACCCTGCCAGGAGCGTAGAAACTGAATAAATAAATGAATTCACTTAAATTTTAGATTTAAAGAGCCAGATTCCACATCATCTGGAACACTAACTGACAAGGTTAGTATTTTGTTATACCTATATATTTATATATATTAAATATAATTTTTACATAGGATTGCAAAACACAATAAAAAATGTACAATTTAATATTTTTATTTATCCCTAAAAACAGAACGCCACTGGTGTGGGAACTTGTTTATAAATACCCCTTACCCCTTTACCCCTAATCTAAATAGTTCTTGGCAACAAAACATTGTGTATTTTGAATAGGAATGGCCAGTCCATTTTGTTTGTAGGTCTGTGGTAACAACAGTATTTCCAAAATGTCTCAAAAAAGTTGACAAACATTGTTTAAATTTAGCTTAATTACAAAAATGACAAAATTAACAATGCAAATTGTCAATTTGGCGTTTTTATTAATTGTTGGTTGTTTCATTTTTGTACTGAAGGTAAATTCAAACAAAATCTGCCAACTTTTATGACAGAATCTAGTGCATTTCTTTTAAATTTTAGGTTATGTTTTCAAATTGTAAATATCTTAACTAAGGGAAGTGCTTTTGGATTTATTTACACAAATTAAATGTTTAAAGTTTAACCTGTGAACTGGTCCAAATTTCATCTGAGTAAACAGAGAAAAAAACTGATGAAAAAATTAATTTTGTGGTTATGGATTTCAAATTTCAAAGGTACTAAATTTTCTAATCACTGCTTAAGCTAATAGCTGGATCAGTAAATAAATACAGAAGGGCATTAGAGCTTTAAGGGCATAAAACTTTTGTATTTATTGAGTTTTTATTTATTTTTTGCAAGAAAAATTTTTAGTAACAATTTTTTACATCTGGCAACGCATAGCTACTTTGTTGGTTGGTATCTATGTACTCACAAAATACAGGTGTGCAGAGATAAACAAGTGTGTAACCAGTGGCGTATCACAAAAAATATAAAAAACTTCTAATGCATATTTTTTCTTTATCTTTGGAAAAATGCTTTTTAAAATATTTTTCCTTTATTCCTTATGTCAAAAGGTATTCAGTATTTTAATATATAACATTAATTACATAACACCCTGTATTTTAGAAGTTTTCCTATACAATTTTGTGAATTGTCGTTTTTGGAAATAAATATTATTATTATTATTATTATTATTATTATTACCTTCAAGTTGGTCTTGTGGATCTTCTCGGTGAGCTGGTCGACGGCGGTGTTGCTGGGCGCGCAGACCAGCACAGGGCCGCCCTTCTGCTTCACCAGCTGGTAGACGATGGTGGCCGAGGTGACGGTCTTGCCGGTGCCGGGGGGGCCCTGGATGAGGGAGAGCGGGCGCTGCAGGGCGTGCTTGACGGCGTAGACTTGCGATCGGTTCAAGTCGGGCAGATTCGGCGCGGAGAAGTGTTTCGGTAGCTGGCAGCGGAAGAGCACGTCCTCGACCTCGTGGCCGAGTAGGCGGTGGTAGATGTACGCGGACACGGAGCTGTCGTCGACGGCGAACTTTCGTAATGCCAGTTGCATCCTAGACGAGGTGAGATTTTGTTTTTAAACAGTTTTTATGCATGTTATTTTGCTACCTTAATTTCAACTGTATTTTTTTTAAGGAAGTTTGACACGTCTGAATATAATTAATAATCGCTATTTTAAAATGGTTGTTGTTTTAACATTTTTATATGAAAATTACCAACTTAAAAATCTTTTGAAAAATAAGGCGTTTTTTTACGAAAAAGTTTAGAAATTAACTAAAAATTATTACGTTTTTTCTAGAGATGAGAATCGGAAAGTTTTCATTCTGGAAAGTTTCCAGTCGGCAATGTATTTTTATTTTGAAAATTTCTTTTAAAATTTCCGGAAACTTTCACCGTTTTTTTATGTAAATATCAAATGTTTAACAGCTGATTTGTGCAGTTAAGGTTAGGAAACCGAATAAGAAGTTAATTTGTGTTAATTAAAAGAAGAAGGAGTTATATTTATGCAATTTTAATTCTACTGACGGTCAAGAGGAGAGTCCACCAGGTAGCAATGCCAGTACTGGAAACATAAAAGAATTTGTTGATAACAAACAATTTACTCTTGTTCTTTTGCTCCTTTAGTTTAGTCAAAAACCCTGATGTTGTATTTTTTAAGCAACTACGTCCAAGTTTTAAGCTATCTGAAAGAATACATTGCTTAACTTAAATATGCTAGAATCCAAAAAGTAGTTGAAGATAAAGTAATAGGACAATTCTTTCAGATGGTTGGACAGATGTAGATGGGGTGGAACGAATAAATATAATTGTAGCAACTCCAGAGCCTGTATTTTTAAAAACGATAACTTCAGGCTCATTCAAAAATGTTGATTTTATTTTGCCTGTAGTTTTTTTAATTTTGCAATCTTCCTGGCACAAAAAACTCATTTCTGCAATAAAAATTATTTTTTTGAAATTTTTGGAAAGTTTCGGGAATTTCCCATGGAATTTTAGTCAAGAGGGAATTTTCCCATCTCTAGCTTATTCATATAAGAAATACTTTTAAAAATAGTAGGTTTTTAACGAAAAAATGACAGCACACCACAAATATGTTGTTTTAAAAATTTGTCATTGTTGTTTTGCATAGTTTTTTAAATTTATTTTTCATAGAACTTTTTTTTGGAGGTTTTTGTGTGATTTTGATATTTTTACCAAAAATTGACTGATTTGAGAAAACTTCAGTATTATGCCTAAAACATTTGTTTTAAAACAGTTTTATACTGCTTTAAACTGTATTTTTACAAATTTAATTAAAAAATTGATGGTTTAGGTTTTTTTTGTAAACATTTGTCTAGAATTGTCAGTTTAAAGACTTTTTTATATGAAAATTTCTAAGATATATTTTAAAATAGTTGGTGTTGACATTTTAATACGAAAATTAATAATTTTAGCTGACATAAATCTTTTGAAAAATAATTCATTTGATAGAATTTTTTAATCCTTTTTTTACTGCATTTACTGCATGAGTTTAGAAAATTTTAAATTATGTGAAAATTGGCTAAAAAATATCATTTGTAGGTAAAAATTAATAGTTTATTATTTCAAATAACAATAAATATTTTTTTTATGTTTATTAAATGAAGGTTTTACAAAAAATATATAATTACAATTCATATTGTATTTATTTATTAAATTATTAGGTCAGGGTTTTGACATTTTTATATAAAATTGGATGTTGCAGTCATTTTTAGTGACATTTTTTTTACCCAAAAAATGATTTGTAAACAAAAAAAATTATTTAGTTTTCATATATTTTTTTTTTAAATACATTTAAAGTTTGATATTTAAAATGTCTATCTGAAAATAACAAATTTTCATGTGAAAATTCACAATTCAAAAAGTTGTGAATAGAATCGCCTTTAAAACCCTTTTTAGGATGATAAAACAACTTTTTAAGATAAAATTAAAATTAAAAAGTTATTTTGTTATAAAATTAATCTTTTTTAGAAAAATGATCTTGTGGGTTTTAAAACTAATTTTTGCAATAAAACTTTGACTACAACATTGCAAAAATCAGTTTTAGAGCCCAAAAAGTTATTTTTGTAAAAAATACTAATTTTATAATATAATATCAGTATTAAGTCGATTTTATTCATAAAATCACTTTTGTAGTTCAAAAAATGCATTTTAGTGAGAAGATATTAACTATTTTACAAATTCACAGAATTAATTGAGAATTCGTTTTTTACTGCATTTACTGCATGACATTTTTTTTCCAAAAAAATGATCTTTAACCAAAAAAAAATATTTAGTTTTCATATTTTTTTTTTAAATTACATTTAAAGTTTGATATTATAAAATGTCTATCTGAAAATATCAAATTTTCATGTGAAAATTCACAATTCAAAAAGTTGTGAATATAATCCTTTGAACAACTTTTTAAGATAAAATTAAAAAGTTATTTTGTTATAAAATTAATCTTTTTCACAAAAATGATCTTTTGGGTTTTAAAACTCATTTTTGCAATAAAACTTTCAACATTGCAAAAATCAGTTTTAAAGCCCAAAAAGTTATTTTTGTAAAAAAAACTAATTTTATAATATAATATCAGCATTTAAGTCGATTTTATTCATAAAATCACTTTTGTAGTTTGAAAAATACATTTCATATGGACTATTTTACAAATTCGCAAAATTAAAGCGAATTCGTAAGCGAGTCCAAAAGATCGACAGGGGACTGTTCGCTCACCTGTCGAAGCTGGTGCTCTTCCATATGAAGTCGACGACGAAGTTGCTGCTGCAGTCGCTGGGCGCGCCCGAGCCGTTCTTCAGCTCGATGCCGATGTCCTCGCCGTAGTTGTCGGGCACCTTGATCACGTGCCCGACGCCCGCCCACGTCTTGTGCATCTCGCCGACGTAGCGCAGGCGCAGCTCGTCGCCGTGCATCAGCTTCATGTCGCCGTCCGTCTTGGCCAAAGTGAAGTAGGCGATGGTCTTCTTGTTCAGCCCGACGTCCCATCGCACCTCGATGTTCTCCTGCGTCTGCGATTCCTTCAGGCGCTTGTCGTAGTCGGCCTCGAGCTTAACGAGCGGCCCGAATATGTTTTGGTATTGGTAGCCGTCCTCGTACCTCAGCAGAACCTGACCGAGGAAATAGCATGTCGTTCAGCAAATACGCAAGCACTGGCGTTACGAGTTTTTAATAGAATGAAGTATTCATATAAAACGACTATTTTTTCGTTTTTCACCGAAACTCAAAAATATAGTTTAAAAAATCGAAAAAAAAATTACCTTAAAGTTTGAGGTAGAGTATTAAATTTTCTACAACTTTTTCCTTTAAAATTTTTCGGAAGAACAAGCCATTCGTTTAATATTTTGAAAAATATGTGAAAAAAGTAATAAAAAAAATAATTTCAGAACTAATCAAGTTAGAGAAAAATTCCTAAACGTTAAATACTCTGTAACTAACAATAAAGCACAATGTAATAGCTTAAAACCCGGGAAAGATATAGAAATTTAAAAAACAAATGAGTGAAAATACATGCTTTTTAAATGGGAAAAATTCAAGAGGAAGTACTTAAAATCAAAATTAAGGCTTAAAGATGCATATTGTTAAGTCTTAAACTGTACAATTTCTACCCCAATTATATATAGATAGAACAATACTGCCCTGCTAAGATGAAAGGTCCTATCTACAAAATTTTGTAATAAAGGACAAAAGATCATTTTTATTGTTATAACAATCATTTTTATTATTATAACAATCTTTTGTCCTTCTTTCAAAATTTTGTAGATAGGACCTTTCATCTTAGCAGGGCAGAATATGCATCTTTAAGACTTAAAACAAGACTAACCCCAATTTAACAAAAAAATTACATAGAACACTATAATTCTCAGGTGACGATTTGTAGAATTTTGAACACATACAGGGTGAGTCTTTTAACTCGAAACTTCAAAATATCTCGACGACTCGTCGGAGAACAATACAAAATGGAAAAAATTTGGATTTTGTTGTATTTGTTCACGTGCCAACTGACAAAAAAATTACCCGATTTTGAAAATCCAATCCATGAAGCTCCTGATGTAACGAAATATGGGAAGGGTGGTATTTATTTCGTTTTAATATTCTCTGGGATATATAATAAGATATAATATAAGATAATTCTCGCAACGGCTGCTAATAAGAATTTTTTTTTTTCGGTTTCCTTTTGTAGTAAACAGATTTAATTTAATAAGATAATTTTTTCTTACTACCTCGACTCAAAATACGTTGTTTCGTCCCCGATTCCACGGTAGAAAGTTTACGTTTTATGCATTGGTCAAGCTATACGCGCACACTCTAATAGCGGGAGTAAAAATTTTTTAGTCGTGTGCTTAACATTCAAATTTCGTACTGCCAACATGAGAAACACAAAAATATGACAGTTTTAAACCATAATTTTGCAATTATAACAACAAATAAACAATTTATGTTTTTACTTTTTTACTTTTTATGTTGTTTTAAGTGTTTAATGGTACTTTTATTTGTTATAAAGTAGTAATTTGTTAATTAAAATACAACCTTTTATTTTTACTGTATTGGCACCGCTGAATTCACGGCCTACTGTTATTTATTTATCAAGCTCTTCAAATGGAGATAGGTACATAAATACACATTTAATTTTTTCCCGTATTTTCGGCCGGGTTGTATTTTCGGCCGAGGTAGTAAGAAAAATAGTATACACTACACGGGCAGAAAGTGTGAGAGTCCTGAACTGCGCGCCATGATGATCATGGCGCGCAGTGCAGGAATCTCACACTTTCTGCCCTTGTAGTGTAATATACTATTTCAATGAAAAAGTGATATATCACTTTTATATTTTTATTGAAAAATTATTGCAGAATGGTATGAAGAGTAGAAATCAAACAAAATTGATTTTTTATTACAGCGCATTAATTAACAAATATGAAAAAATATTTTTTCGTAAAATGCCTATTTACTGAGATGTTTTAAAGTTTTAAGTCAAAAGACTCCGTATTTTTATTCCAATTTACCTAATGAAATAAAGCAAAAATTTGTTTTATCTGCAAAGCGCCATTTTACCCTTAACCCTGTAAATTCTAAATCGACATTTCTTTTTATGACAATAACATAACAAGAAATTGTTATCATTAGAAAACTGACTTACCTGTTGAGGTTCTTCGTCGACGCCGGGTTTCTCCAAATCTTGAAAGGTGGCGTCTACATTCTCCTTCCAAAGTTCCTCGAGCTTGTTTATTTGCTGCGCAGATATTTGCCTGGCGCGCAGCTGCTCTTGCTCCGACGGTATTTTAACCAACCACGTCAGAAAACAACGGTCGGCTATCAGGGGTTTCCATTGGTCCTGATCCCAGTTCATATCCTGCGATAATACCGAGGAAACACAATAAGTACAGTATTGTGCGAATTAATGTGAACACAAATAGATTTACGTTAAATATTATTAAATGAAAACAAAAATACAAACAGTAGATACTAGTTTATAAATATTTTAGTTTTATTTATTAGGGAATATGTCCCCTCTTTGTCCTGTATTAAATTCATTTCAATTCGTTTTGGCATAGAATTAATCAATGTTTTGCAGTTTTCCTTTATTTTGTCATCTTAAAACCATACCTGAATGACAGCCTTAATCAAATTAGTTTTTGTTGTATAATTTATTTTTAGCAACCTGTCCTTGCATATAGCCCACAAACTCTCAATAGGATTAATGTCTGGTGAGTTTACAGGCCAGTCTAGAAGGGTTACCTTTTTGTCCTAGTGTAAATTAGTCGCAATAACAGGCAAAATCACTGACATTAGCAATTACTTAATGCAGAATGATAGGTTATATGATATCTAATATCTTGACACTATTTAAATAAATTTATATGCATAGAAAAACTGCTTATTTTGTTAAATAAAATAATAAAGGAATATACAAAAAAATATATGACAGTTGTGGACGGTGGTTTATTTGCTTGTAAAGTAGTGCCAATATAATATTATAGTCAAGTTATTTTTAGTATTTTTTTTTTAATAGTACACTTTATTGAAAAAAGCTTATAATTTTGAATATATTAGGTCAAGAAAAGTGTTTTCCAGGTTAAAAGGTTAAAAACGCGTGTGTAATTTTAATATGGAAGCCCATGTTAAATATTTAGGTATTTAAATCGTTGATCTTTCATCAGGTAAGTAATTATTATTAACCTGTTTTAATCTAAACTTTTTACTTATAGGAAACTGAAATAAAAAGGGTGAAAAAGGTTACACAACAAATAATTATTATTATTTTGTTTTTTTTAATACCTTAAATATAATGTGGTCCACATCACAATATTGAAAATAAAAAAATGGTAAATCGTAGTCATTTTTTGTTTTTTTTTTTTAATAAAAATCATTGATTTTTGATTTTTTTGAACCCTGGTTTTTAGTAATGTTAACTTTCGGAAAATACGGGATTTTGTGCCTATGTTAACTTCCATGAGATGCATTTAAAACTCAACTATTTCCGGGAAATAACCTTTTTTATGAATACCCAAGTATAATAAGTTAAAGTTCGCTTTGATATGAATGGGTTGGCAGTTACACTGCGTGAAATAATATAGAATAGAAAATTTATATTATTATAATATTTTAATTGTAAATGTTTTAAATGTAAAAGAAAATTGAAGTAGGTTTTTTAAATATATAGAATATATAATTTTTTATAATTTTAATTATGTCAACCATAAATTTAATTCAAATTTAATGGAAACAGATAGGGAAATAGCAAAATATTATTATGTCTAGGCATAATAATAATAATTTTTTATGGTACATTTTAATTTAATAACCTTTTTTTGGAACATTTAAATGTTTCATTTTTATTTTGTATGAGGTTCTTTATTTTTTTACTTTGAAATTTATATTGTAATTATTGTGAGACTAAAAACATTGTTGAATAATTTTTCTTTTAAACATTTTATTTTATTGTATATTAATTTGCAATTTCTTATTTCAATTTATGTGTACACATAATTTTAATTCTAATAAAAAATGATAAAAAATACGACTATTTTTTTTTTTCAAAGAACATTAAAAAATCGTCAGATTATCTCTAAAAAACGACCCCGTAAAAATATAATTTATATTAATATTTACAGGTAGCGTTTTGTAATTTTCTATTTCCCATTTAAATAACATGGGAATTTTGTAATGTGATAACAAGCTACTTCATAAGTAAGACAAAATTACCCGTTATATATGACTGTTGGTATTGAAATTAATTTAATTGTTTTTTTAAGGAATGTAATTTATTGAAATCTAAAAGACTGCTTAATTTGAGTTTAAACACGGTTTTAGGACTTTTAAAACAGTTTAAAAACTGTTTTAGAGTTTTTAATTTGTTTTAGGACATTTTAAACGGTTTTAATAATAATAATAATAAAAATTTATATCTTAAAAGTATTTTTTACCTTTAGGGAGTTTTGTGCTGCACATGGTTGACGACATAGTAAAACAACTACAGAATCAGCCTTGGCGGGTATAAAACCAAGCACAAAAACATTTCTAACCCCACAACTGTAACACTCCAAAATAGTTTCACCTAAGGGACCATCTTTATGCAAGGTCACTTCCTTATGCTTCGCCCTAACCTAAAAAAAATAATTAATCGACATGCAAGCATAAACATTAAAATTCTTACAAGGTGATTGATTATGTGACTCCCCGAGGTATTCCCCCTGCCATTGCAAAACCATTTCTTGCAGCAATTGCACATAACAACACAGTTCGGCTCGTGTATGCCACAATATTTGCAAGCATAATCAGGAAGTTCTTTCCCATTAAAATAACCCTCCTCATCCTCCTCCTCAAATTGTAGCTCGCCTAGAGCGCTGGTTACAGAGGATACTTTGTTGGCGATATTATTATTGTTCACCTAAAAAAGTCCCACATCAAAAATAATTGGGGTTATGTTTAACGCCCATTTTGTCATATTTTCCGAAAATAATACAAAACTGAGATACATAACCTCAATTATTTGACTGCCCAAATTTATAATTGTGGTTATGTTATAATTATAAGAAAATGTTTAAAGTGTCAAATATAAGTTGTTAAAAAATCCAATAACTTTACCTTTGATGAAATATAGGTGACTTTACTGCCCAAAAGAGCCAAATTTGCATTTAGAGCATGCAAATACACATGTATGTTTATTATAATTCTGACAATTAATAATAAATTACAAATGTCAAAGTATTTAAAATTAAGGACATGAACAGGAGTACCAATTTTATATATTAAAAATACCAAAGTATATTAACAATCAAATGTGTCAAATTCCAAATTAAAAAATCAAATTTACTATAAAATTGCATTCAACATGACGATAATTATCGTACGTCTGGCAACCCCGATTTTGAATAAATATAACATAACCCCAATTATCTTTTTCGTTAATTTTTTTATTTAATCAATGTAACCAATTGTGAGGTTGGTTGCATTAGCATTGGACAACTGAACCCCTAAACGTTTGACGTTGTCAAAGTCCAAATAGAATGAGAAAAAAGGAAATCCATTTGGATTCGGTGACCTTGACGGTGGCACTAACCTGTACGCCAGCGATTTTGGGGCCCGCCTGGTCGAGCTGCGAGGCCTGCGTCTGCGAGGGGATCGTGAAGTCCGTGAACTCGCATTCCGAGCCCTGCGTGTCAGCTCCGATCAAATCCGCATCTTCGGTGTCGAGAAACGTGAGCGTCTGACTGCTGGGGCCATACGCGTCGACACTCATGCTCGAACCACGATTCCTTTGTAGCTTCTTGGAGCCAAACTAAAAAAACTCCAGGGAACACTCAAAAATACTTCAAAACACCTTAAAAAATGACAGCTGTATTCACTTTGAAATCGAGACACCTATGATATTAACCGCCATATTTATCTGACGAATTGTTTTTTCTCGGCGGTTTCCTTTTCACGGCGCGGCGGGAAATTCAAACTTCAAAATGTTTTAATTGGATTTCAACCATTTTTATTATTAATAGATAATTTAAGACATGTTTAACTTAATAGTATATTATGCATTAAGTTTAATAAACGCCATCTTATTAACGAATTTAATTTAATTAAGTAAATGAGTGCCTAGAAAAGTTTATTAACGAGTTTCTTACTATACTTTAAAAGTATTACTTTTTCTACAACAAATACTTAATAATGATTTAAATTAAGTATTTGTATAAAGCGACATCTATAACCATCCCAACAAACATTTTTGACGTAATTTTCACCATTATATTATTTAATTATTATTATTATTATTATTATTATTTAATTAATTATTTTAATTAAACCTAACAATTATTGATACCTACTTTAAAATATTAAAATAACTTCAAAATATGTTTTTGTTAAGAATAGTATATTATGTATCAAGTTTGATAAACGCCATTTTATACATTAATTTAGGCACGAGCGAGCTTGCGAGCGAGTGCTTAAATTAATAAGTGTATAGAAAAGTTTATAAACGAGGTGCATACTATACTTTTTCTACGACAAATACTTATTATTATCTTAAAATGATGTAAATCAAAAATTTGTATGGAGCGCCATCTATGAAACAATAGGGGAATCTGCAGACATGTGTGTCACCGTCAAATGTCAATTTTTTTTATTTTATAAACACGGATTATAAAGGTTATAAATCGAAATGTATTTCTTGAAAATTGACAGTTTTTCACAGTGAAAGCAAAGAAAATGTTTTATGAGGACTTTAAGTGGAGTCCGTGCCCGAATTTAAGTTATAGTTTACTGCCGGCGAAATTAAAAGGTCAGTACAATGTTCATATAAACTTTTAAAATATTGGCGTTGAGAAACTATTTAATACTTTTGTATTTTTGTATTGAGATAATAAAATAATTTTCACATTTAGTATTATTTTACAAGAAAGGCACTTTATTTTAATTAAAGGGCGTTTTAAAGGTGGGAGTGGAAAAAGGTTTTTTATTCAAAGAAAGTCGCAACTTCTCAATTTTAGAAATACAAATCATATTTATTTTCATTCATAAACTGCTAATTTAATGTTGAAAAATAATAATAATTATTATAATAATTAAATATTAAAACTTTATTGGAAAATACAAATGGCTAACGACTTACGTCTTCCTGCCCAATTACTATTTTGTTATATTACATAATACATATTTTTTAAGATAATTTGTAAATATGCCCCACTTTTGTTAAGTGCTAATTGTAATATATGCAACTGTCATTGCATATAGTGGGAACGTGGCAACACTGTAGGCAGTGATATGACACAAAAATATTACTTAGAGTGTTTCAATATTGTTCCAGTACACACTAGAAGCATAAGTAATACAGTATTATACACTAATTTGCATTTAAACAAAAAATTTTCAATCCAACTAAAATATATTAAAAATCCAGTAATTTAAATTTCGCGCTGCACTACCGCGCATGCGCAGTCCTTACGTGCATGACGTGCAAAACTTCATCTGTCACATTTTAGTAAACAAAACCCATTCTCAAAATGTCAAGTTTAACTTTGGGTCTGTGGAATTCCAATCAATTAAAACGCATTAAAATTGAGAATGTAAACTTGGATGGCAAAGTGGAAGAGTTTAAAAGTGTGGCCAAAAAGAATTTGGGTGGAAATCATGACATAGGTAGTAAAATTAATATAAATGCGTTGTATACAAATTAATTTTCTTTTTGTTTAAGAATTGTCCTATTGTGGGGTAATCATGGAGGATGAGAATACTTTATCGTCGTACGGGGTGACTCCTGGTGTTATTGTGTATGGCTTGGAAAAGAAAAAACCTTTGATTGAGGTACCAAAGAAAAAATATACAGAGGTTGATGTACAACAAATTGTTGTGGCTTTTAAGTCTTTTACAATGTCGAGTGGGTACAGAAATGCCTTGCAGGTATCAAAATGGTTAAATTAAAGTATTTCTCATTGTGAATAATATATTTTTTAGCGGTTATCAAGGGTTGAAGTTCTGGACAAAATAAAAGCTGCCATTCCAGGTTTAGGCGATGATCCTGTAGCTTTGGCAATAATCCAAGACCCTGAGCTTATCGTGCACATGTCGGACCCTGATACGGTCCGTAAAGTATCGGAAACGCACCCTGTCTTAATTGAAGCTGCAAATTACATAGCTGCACATATCAGAGAAGAACACACAATGAATCCTCTACAAGCGGGAACAAGCACTGGGTATTCTTACTCCTTGGAAGCCCTATCAGACGATGATGACTTGGATTCGGACACAAACATGCAACAGCACCCTCTATCGCGAAATTCCTCTTATAACGCCATAACAGCTGCGCAGCTAGCAGCTGCCATAGCAAACGCTACAAATACCGCATTTAACACTAACAGTGCTGGAATGCCGACTACTCCCAGCGGTAGCAGTCTGATAACCAATGAGATGTTTAATAGTGCAATGCAACATGCTTTTACTACAGCTTCGGAACCCTCTTACCCCATGCCAATGACTCCCACGGAAGATATAAGGACGAGGTTGCAGCCCCAGCTGCAGCAAATGCATGAGTTGGGGTTGTTGAATGATATGGTCAATGTAAGGGCTTTGCAGGTTACTGGGGGGGATGTACAGGCTGCTATTGAACTTGTTTTTAATGGTACCATCGATTGATGCGTTTAATTTTGGAATTTATTGTGTTGTATGTAATATTTGCTTTAATTTTATTTGTAATAAATTAAAATGTACCCAAAAGTTCTATATTTCTTCTGCCCCATCTTTTAAACCACATACATTTTTTTTTGTTAGGAATTTGACGTCAAAAATGTAGTGGAGAATATAATTGTGGTTATGTTGTGTTTATCAAATTTAAAATGTCAAATAGGTATGTGTCAACCACGGTCTTATATACAGGTCCTGCAACTTTAAGCTTCGAGGTGGCTTCCTTAACGTGCCAAGCCGCTAGGTGGCGCTAAGATCGAAGGGGTAAAGTCAATTAAACTACTACTTAGTTAAATGTGGAACTACTGCATAACCATAACCTAACTTTAAATTCTTTTTCTATGTTTTGTTTACATTTTCAAAAATTTAATATTTGTGAGTTTGTTTCGGATAATTTACGTTAACAAAATAGGACAACAAAGTCTATACTCTATGCACAAAGTCCTCGGCCGTCACATGCCCAGACCAAACATGTACATAAGTAAAACATGTTAATGTATAAAATACATACGTATATCATATATATGTTACGGCTAATGTGTAAACATGGATAGTTTATAAAGTAGCTGGGTAGTTTATAAACTAGCCAAACTGTCAGCTATTTTAATTGAAAACGTATTTTTAACTAAATTAGCGGCTAGTTTGTAAACCAACCAAGGGTCTTGGCTAATTTACTTGAAATTATTTAGGAATAGCTGGATAATTTGTAAACTATCCAATTCAATTTGGCTAATATGAAAACCAAAATTTCTAGTAACACAACATAGCCAAGCTTTAGATAGTTTACAAACTAACCAACCAATATTCTGGCTAATTTATTAATAACCTATTTTTTTATTGTCTTGGCGGGGATGGGTTCATTGTTTATTTAAAATAATATATATTTCACCAACACGATGTGCTTAATTATAAATTAATCATACAAAATGTGAAGGTTTCAATAGTATGTTTTTTATTGCACATTGCCATGTTTTTAACTGCTCCTTATTTGTTGGCACTTTAAACATGGACCGCTTAATTTTAATGCCGGAACGATGGCTTTGCTGGTTACATTTTGGCACAACACAGGACTTCATGTCTATTAAAAAGCACAAATACAAATGTATAACAAGAACAAATATAACAAAAACAAATATAACAAGAACAAATATAACAAGAACAAATATAACAAGAAAAAATAGAACAATATAATATAACAATAACGAATATCACAATAACAATAAGTAAAAACTCCCTGTAACAAAACACACAAGCTTGTTTATAAAAATGTAGGTTATGTTTCTTAACACAGCTGTGAACATAAGTAGGTAGTTCATTTGACTTTTATCCCATAGACTTTAAGGACTTAGAGCCAGTTTTACAATCGTTAGATTAAGTTAGCTTATTTGGCGGATAACTTTCATAGAAACCTTCTATCCAAGAAAATTATCCACCAGAGAGCTTATCTAACGATTGTAAAACCCAAAGATAAAGAAGGTAAAAACGACCTTTAAACATCTATGGTTTACCACCCAACTCGATGCGCCATCTGGTGGGTGTCTCATTAGAGAGGTCACTTTTCCTATTGAAATTGGGCGAAGTTGCAGGACCTGTATATAAGACCGTGGTGTCAACAAATTTGACTTTACCTTGGATGAAATATGGTATTCCCAGTGTAGAAATATACATTTATTTTTGATAATATTTGTTTTGTCCTTTCATAAGGGAATGAAGGCATTTAAATCAAAAAATATTTGAAGATTTTTGAAAATATTTTTCAATTTTGTCCAATGGTAAATGGGTCTTTCACTGAAATTACTAAACAAGACTTGTAGCTCATTAATAAGGATTAATCCTATATAATTATATTACTCCTGTGTTGTATTGGGAATTATTTCATTAAAATGCTGTTTTGTTTGCCAAGTATTTATCTTTGCATTGTTTATTATAATTCTTACAATGAAAATGTCAAAGTATTTCAAATTAAAGAGTTGTACAGAAGTACCAAATTTAAATATTAAAAATACCAAACTATATTGACATACATTACCAACATAATCAAATGTGTCAAAGTTCAAATACAAAAATGAAATATTTACTTCATTTGTTTATAGCTATTTACTTTAAAAACTGATTTATAGATTGTCTTTCTTCCTTCCTCCCGTAAAAGATATATTACCGTACGGGATTGTACTGTTTATTTTCTACGGGAGGAAGAAAGGAAGGCAATCTATAAATCAGGCTTAATACCATAGATAATAAATCATGCTTAATTTGTTTTTCTACTCCCACCTTTAAAACGCCCTTTATCGTACATGTTTCCATGACACTAAGTGACATTTTAAATACACATTGACAAGTTGTGGCTTTACGGCGCTTTAGTCACGGGCTGAAGTTAGCAACAGGTTTTTAGTCATGGGATGAAGTTAGTTTTAAGTTAGTTGACAGTTGTCAAATGTCATACAATCGTTAAAATAAAGTGCCTTTCTTGTAAAATAATACTAAATGTGAAAATTATTTTATTATATCAATACAAAAATACATAAATATTAAATAGTTTCTCAACTCCAATATTTGAAAAGTTTATATGAACATTGTACTGACTTTTTAATTTCGCCGGCAGTAAACTACAACTTAAATTCGGGCACCGACTCTACTGTAAAGTCCTCATAAAACATTTCCTTTACTTTCACTGTGAAAAACTGTCAATTTTCAAGATACATTTCGATTTATAACCTTTATAATTGTGTTTATAAAATGTAAAAATGTGACATTTGACAGTTTCCCCTGTTGTTTCATAGATGGCGCTTTATACAAAATTTTGATTTAAATCATTTTAAGATAATAATAAGTATTAAATACAAATTTTGTCGTAGAAAAGTAAAGCACCTTGTTTATAAACTTTTCTATACACTCATTAACTTAAGCACTCGCTCGCTCGTGCCTAAATTAAATTCGTGTATAAACTTGATACATAATATACTATTATAGCTTTTTAAGTGTGCAGATATTTTAAGTTTCTACATTTTATTACTAATCTTGCTTTCTGTTTTTTTAAGAAATTACTTTACATTTTTTAAAATCCAGTAAAGTAATTATTGTTCAACTAAAAAACCACTAATAAAATTGTAAATTAGTAGGTATACCTATAACTATAGTTATTGGAAGGAAAAAACTTAAATTTGGTGATATAAATAAAACCCAATGTACCAATCAAATAAATTTATTGTTACATAACCTAAATGTAAATAACAAAACATTTACTTGAGAGGAATGAAACGGGAACTGTGGGTGGCACCAATACCGGGTCTACCGTGCTTTACAGGTTTGTACGTCAGGGCAAATTCTCCCAAGTAGTGTCCAATCATTTCAGGTTTGATTTCAACCTGTGTGAAGGTTTTGCCGTTGTAAACACCGACAATGGATCCTACCATTTCTGGTACAATGATCATGTTACGTAAATGCGTCTTTACGATTTCTGGTTTTTCTAGTGGAGGAGCCTCTTTTTTGGCTTTGCGGAGTTTTTTCACCAAGGCCATTGGTTTACGTTTAAGACCACGGCTGAAACGCCTTCTGGCACGGCAGTGCATCAACTCCATAAGTTGTTCACTAAAAAAATCAACATTAAAAAACGTCTCTATCTATAATATCCCAAGCACAACAAATGCTAAAGGCAGTTTTTTGAAAGACATAACCTATAAAACTTACTTTGGCATATCGAGAAGTTGATCCAGATCAACTCCTCTGTATGTGAACTTCTTGAAGGTCCTCTTCTTCTTAACTTGTTCATCAACCTAAAACAAACACAACTCCGATAAATAACACAAAATAAACCGACATTTTTTAAGTCACTTCTGGTGGATGTCAACAAAGTCTTTTTTAACGAAATTAACCACAATTTGCGAAAAATACGATACGCACCTTGTCACCCATGGTTTATTTTATTTGTTTGAAGGGGTTTAAGTCAAAATTATAAAACGATGAACGCGAATTCAACGGATTTATGGAAAAGTCAGAAAACAGCGGCCACTGCCATGAAGTTTCCTGACGAAAAGATGGCAACACGAAAAGTCCCCAGATGTGTTGCCAACCTCGATGAAAGTTACCAAAGCGCGGGAAATTCAAATTTTATTTTGTATTGTTTTTTCTACTTTAATTTCTAAATTTTAAATGATTTTAAGGGTTTTAAAATAAAATATGGTGTCTGTTAATGTTAGTTTATTTTTTACAAAAAAAAATAATATAAAAATAAATGCATTAATGGTTATTAAGTTTTTAAAATATTTAAATCAGTCGAGTATTTCCAAAATAAAGCGTTAAAAGTTAATAAATTAACACAAAACTGTACAACATAAAATAAAACCTAAAATAAAACTTTAAGGTTCTTCTTTTACAAGTTCCTCTTTAATTTCCTCCTTTTTAACTTTTTTCTTGTCATTTTCTTCTTTAATTTCACTTCCCATTTCTTTCTTCATTTTTTTCTTCGTATTTTCTTGTTGTTCTTCACGTCTACGTTTTTTGAAGTCTTTATTCAGTTCAGTATACATTTTGCTGTATTTTGTAATATTACTTTTTGCAATATTCCAATGTTGTACATCCCTTGATGGTGGATTAATAATTGGGTCATCATTGGAAGAATAAGTCGGTATTTTAAAACCTAATTTTTCCATTAAAACTTCCATAACCTTGTCCACATAGGAGTTGATGATTAAATCTGCTTTTTTGTCCTATAAAGCAATCAATAATGCTTACATTTTATTATAATATAAATTAACTTACAAATTTTGTGGGTTGTAAGTTAACTATTACAACTTTTCCTCCATATTTTTTGTTTTTAATTGGGAGTGCGCCACTGGGTAAAATTTGTAGTGTAGTACCAAGACAAATGTTTAAATCTGCCAAGCTAAAAAAATTTATACTTTTATTTTGATTTTTAAATTTTTCTATTAAATAGTTCAAAATTCACTGGGAAACTTTAAAATCAAAATTAAAGTACTTATGATAAAACTTTAAGGGCATTTTTTTCTTTTGCTTTGGAAGCGACAAAAAATATATTTTCCTTCAAAACAAATCACCCCTAATATATACAGGGTCCCCTAAAGGAAAAAACAAATTTTCTGACAAATGTTTAAAAAATTATTCGTTTTTTTAATATAATAAAAGTATTGTAAACAATTTACTAACGAAGTTTTAAAAATAAAAAATTAAAACTTAAATATTTTTTATTGCAGATTCAGATCATTATAGATCAAATAGGTAGATTTTGTCTAAAACATTTTTTCATATTTGTAATAGATGGCGCTGTGATAAAAAAATAAATTGTGTTCGATTTTTCTTCTGTATACGTACGATTCTCCAATAATTTTTGAATAAAATACTTGGTTTTATTTTTTAAATTTATTTATTTATTTTTAAATTTTAATTAAAGTGGGTTGTTCTACGAACTCTTTTTTTCGGTTGAACACTCCCGTTTGCAGTAAACTGCTTGACTGTACGGTGAAATGAAGTACGTGAACGATTTTTTTCCGGAAAACGCTGAGCGTAGATATTAACAGCATCATCAAGATTCCTGTCTGCTTCTCCATAAATCAAAATCATTTCTATTTTTTCTTCCACAGTTAAAAAATCGATTATGAATAACTGCTTAACAAAAGGAGGTCTTTTTGTTTGCAAATTAATCTTCAAACTAAATTGATTAAATAATGCTAAACTATGTATAAATAGTTTCTTTATACCTCAACAATAATTATTATTTATAACTAAATACCACTTTTTTTTACCTTAATTAGGATTACATTAATTAATTGACAAAATGTTTTTTTTACCTTAAATGAGGTATTTTTATTAAAAATAGTACAATAATCTTTTAAATTAAAGGATTTAATGCTGGCAGGTAAAAAGTTACCATGGTGCGCAATTGATAATTATCACCAAATGAAATAATGTATAAAACTTAAACCAAAGGAAACTTAAATATTAGTTAAAAAATCGTGGGTACTTAAAAAAATCCGATTTAATTTAATAAGATAATTATTACCAAAAAAATCCGATTTAATTTAATAAGATAATTATTACCAAAAAAAGTGATATTTTTATAGAAAAATTATTGCAGAATCGTATACAGAAGAAAAATCGAACAAAATTGATTTTTTTTTTCATTACAGCGCCATCTATTACAAATATGAAAAAATGTTTTAGACAAAATCTACCTATTTTTAGTCGAATGATCCGAATCTGCAATAAAAAATAGGGTTTTCCCTTGGAAATTTTAAAGTTACCCCCTGTTTTCCCTATAAGGAGAAGAGTATGAGGACGAATTTTAGTACTGATTGATTTCCCCCTTCAAATCATTTAATTTTTATTTTAAACATTTTTTCGTAAAATGCATACTAACTGAGATATGTCAAAGTTTCAATTAAATGTATTTTAACATTTTTAAATTTCTTTAAAATATTCTATAATGTGTAAGACATTATTAAATATGCTTTTAACATTCTAAAAAGTGTTTTTATGTTTTTTATAGCATAAATTGTGTTTTCTGTATTCTTAACATTTTATTAATTTTAATATGTGGTTTTGACAGTCTAAATTGTATTTTATACTGTGTTTTTAGAAATCCCTAAATAATGGTTTGTTTTCCCAAGAACATGAGGTAGAAAATACCACATAAGGGGTAAAAAATACTTCATCCACTCCTCAATTTCATAATTTATAACCAAACATTTTTAAAGTGATTTTTCTTCAAAATGGTTGGTTTTAATTTTAATTAATTAAAAATGTAAAACAAAAAATAACAAAATTAATTATTTTGTTATTTTTTATAAGAAAATTTAAAAAATTAACTTATTCCTTAATTAAATTTGTTTTACCTACCTTGATTGATAATCGGCCATATCCAAATCATTTGATGGTAAATTGTGCTCCCAATCTAAAATTGTATCGTGAAGTTTACCCCTACAAACTCTACCCCTTACTAAAGCTCTACGGCACTCCCCACCCAACAATTTTTTACCCACTGAAGTAGTAGCTTGATGTCTAACAAATTGACTAAAAAAACAAATTAAACAACCACTTAATCATTGAAATATATAAAATCTTACCTCTCACAAACATTACATTGCTCAGTAAACATATTGCCATGCAACTCAGAAATCTGAGTTCTATTTACACCCGATTTTAAATGTAAACCATCTATATTTTGACTTACAATGTATTGTACAATATTTTTGTCCAATAAGTATTTTAAAGCCATGTGTGTCTGAGTAGGTTTAGCATTGTCGAAAGATATATTCATTTCCGGTTTTTTACCTTCTTTTTCAAGCGTCCAAACACCATTTGGACCCCTACAACAAAAAAAAGATAAAAAAATTTTAACGAATAATTTTAACTTAATTTACCTAAAATCCGGTATCCCAGCCGATGTACTTATGCCAGCCCCTGTATGCACAACAATGTGCTTCGCATTTTTAATCCATTCTGCCAAAATCTCGCATTTTTCATTCACTTTTTCTTCATCTTCAAATTTCTGCAACAAAAAACGTTGTTTTTGTTTTCATGAAGAATACATGAAAGGTATTACCTCTGGGGCGCCTAGAACACCTTTATTTTCGTATGGAGATAAACCGTCTGCGTAATTTGTAGCCATAATTAACAATTTCTTCAATAAAGCGATTTAATTTGTAGGAAAAAAAGGAACCGGCATCATTTTGTTTATAAATTGATTCTGGGATTTTTGTATTTTACGTTGGTAGTGTTTTATTTTGACTTTTTAAAGAAATCTTGGGTTTTAGAATAATGAAATTAAAGCTTTATCGTGTGCCTTGCAGAGATAATGTTATTTTTTTTACTCAAACATAAACATAATTTTTTTAATATTAAAAAATCTAGAATATTCCAATAAATATAATCTAATTGGACTTGGCGTTGCGGTTGGCACCCCTGTCAGTTGTATGCCAAATTTATCTAGGTTATGTTATGTACTGTAAGCAAAATCTGTTTATAAGCAAATTTAACTGAATTTAAAGGAAAATGAGCCGTCGCCGTGGTCATGAAGAAGACGATGGATACGGTAAATATAAATCCCCCGCATAAAATCCCCTGAAAACTCAAAAAATTAATATAACCCAACATTTTTAGATAGAGCATATCGTAAGAGAAGGAGGGTTTCCGAGAACCAGGAAATCGAGGACCGCTTGGAAAGTCTCATTTTACGGGTCGGCGAAAAGAGCACTTCCTCCCTCGAGTCCAATCTCGAGGGGCTGGCTAGTGTTCTGGAAGCCGATCTTTCAACTTTCAGAGTTAAGATTTTGCGTATTTTAACCGACTGCGCTATTAAAATGCCCGAGAAATGCACGATTTACACGACTTTGGTGGGGCTGTTGAATGCTAAGAATTACAATTTTGGTGGGGAGTTTGTCGAATATATGGTTAGAACTTTTAAGGATTCTTTGAAGAGTTGCAAATGGGATGCGGCTAGATATGCTTTGAGGTTTTTGGCCGATTTGGTTAATTGTCATGTTATATCTGCCACGTCTTTACTGCAGTTGCTTGATAATATGATTGATGCTGCCAATGAAGATAATGTTCCACAAGTAAGTTCTGATTTTATATACCTACTTTTTTATCATTTTTATAATATACAATTACATACATTATATGAAACCCAAACATACCCCTTGAAACTACTAAAATTATACTTAAATTTGTTTTTTTGGGATTAATAAAAAATGTTGGCATTTATAAAAAAAAAATATTATTTCTTGTTAAATTAAGATTATTTATAAAATGTTTTATTTTTTAACAAATTTATTTTCTTTAATTCAGTTTTTTTATGTTTTTGCAACAAATTGTTATTTTTTAATTTTCTTGAGATCTCAATTTAGTTAAAGTCTTAAAATATTTCATAATTTTAATTTAATTTTATTAAGTTTATAAATGGGTGAATATATTGAGATGTCCCCCAAGTGAAAATGATTATTTTTTATTTTTGGTTGTTTCACTGTTAGTCTAGAATGGGGTTTTTGGGAAGCCATTAGGTCTAGTAATAACATAACAAAGTGGTTCTGCTCTAATGCAAGAATTTTAAGAAATCACATTTTGAATATTAGAGCTTCACAGAAGATAAACATCCCTTTGTATATTTGAAATAAGTTGTCTTTTGACACCTTAATATTTAAAAAATACAATTGTACATACGTAAAATATTTATAAAAAAAATCTACTTACTGAGATATTACACTTCACGGTGGATAGGTTTTTAAATAGCAAATTAATGAACTTAAACTTTTAAATTTTAAAACAGCAACACTCATCTGCATATAAATTCTAACTGACCTTCAGGAATCACATCCATCTATAATGTCGTAAACAGAGGTTTTTGCTTATTTAAAATGATTAAAGCGCCATCCATTGCACAAAATTTAAAGCAAAAACAGATTCACGGAGGATATAATCAGTTTTTGTAACATCTACATAAATGGTTATAAAAATTATTTCTTTAAATTTTTAATAATATTTTATATTTGATGCAATTGCTTTGGATGTGTTTAATTTAAGTGTGAAGTGCTATTTTTAATATGCTTTTACTACCTCAGATATTTGAAAACATATAGGTTACCCTAGAAAGAGTAACAGTCACGGAGGATAGGTTTTATACTTTTAAAACATTGTAAAAATAATTAATTGCGGTTAAAAATCTAGAACCTGAGCTGTAATATCTACTTAATTATAAAAGATCAAAACACAATAAAAGTGTAGGTCAAACTCATTTAGTTTAAATAAATATCACGGGGTAACACCATCGGGGGACATTTCGTGAGATTCACCCATATATGGAGTTTCATCAAGTAAAGGTCGAAACAATCATAGGGCTTCCACACCTCCTAAAACTCATAAAATTCCTAAAATTTGGCTTAAATCATAAAAACTCCTAAAATTCTCCTAAAATTGCCATCAATCTCCTAAAACTCCTAAAAATTTAATATAAATAGGCCAACCTGACTGCGTTTAATTAAGGTAGTTGTGCTAAAAAATTCTTTTTTAAAAAGTAATTAAAAAATATATGTATACACACTCACAGGCAAAATAATCGATCCACACAAATTTTCGATGAATTTCAATCGCAAATAACTTTTTTATTTGATGTCGGATTTAAACGAATATTAAAGAATATTGTACATACATTTATGGACAATCGCTAACATTTTAAAAAAATACTAAAAAATAGACGTACGTTTATAATATACAGGTTTAAACAAAAAGATGTTTTTTACCATAAGTTTAAGACACTCTGTAGAGTGGCAAAACCGTATATTGTTCTAAATTAAGTTTTATTTATCAAGTCACATCTATTCTTAACAGTTTTGTTTTTGGTTCACCTCGATATATTTATTTTTGTGGAAAATATGGATTTTTTTAAAAAACATTGCAATTTCCAATATTTTTCTGTATGAAGGACTAAGGTTGCTATGCTCCATAGCCTATGGAGAATGGCAGTGACAGTTTTGTTGAATCATCCCATACTTGGACATGTCATATACAGCTTTCAAAAGGTATCAAATTGTTTTTTGTAAATTAATGTGTTAATTTTGAGGTGTCTTCTTACTTTTAAAAATGTCTCCGACTGATGTTGCCCTTTGTACTTTACTTCTTATGACGTTTAAAACACTTGCCACGTAATACTGTTACCGTCCATCCTGGATTAAATTAATAGCTCTGGCAACATCAGTCGGAGACATATCCATTTTATAAAGTAAGAAGACACCTCAAAATTTAAACATTAATTTGCAAAAAACAATTTGATAGCTTTTGAAAGCCGTGTATGACATGTCCAAGTATGGGATGATTCAACAAAACTGTCACTGTCATTCTCCATAGCAACCTCAGTTCTTCATACAGAAAAATATTGGAAATTGCAATGTTTTTTAAAAAAATCCATATTTTCCACAAAAATAAATATATCGAGGTGAACCAAAAACAAAACTGTTAAGAATAGATGTGACTTGATAAATAAAACTTAATTTAGAACAATATACGGTTTAGCCACTCTACAGAGTGTCTTAAACTTATGGTAAAAACATCTTTTTGTTTAAACCTGTATATTATAAACGCACGTCTATTTTTTAGTATTTTTTTAAAATGTGAGCGATTGTCCATTAATTTATCTACAATATTCTTTAATATTGGTTTAAATCCGACATTAAATAAAAAAGTTATTTGCGATTGAAATTCATTTGTGTGGATCGATAATTTTGCACGTTTTGTATTTTATTATTTTTACTCTATAGGTAAGAAGGGATTGGTACGTGTTTGCCATCCTCAGCACGCTACCGTGGGTAGGTAGAGAGCTGTACGAAAAAAAAGAGCAAGCTCTCGAACACCTACTAGTTCAAATCGAAGTGTTTTTAAACAAACGCTCTAAAAAACACCACAACGCCCTCAAAGTGTGGACAAACGACAACCCGCACCCGCAAGAGGAATACCTGGACTGTCTTTGGGCGCAGATAAGAAAACTGCGGCAAGACAACTGGGCCGAGAAGCACATACCAAGACCGTACTTGGCATTTGATTCGACTTTATGTGAGGCCTTGCAACATAGTTTACCATCGATTTTACCCCCACCTCACCACGAAACGTACCAATACCCGATGCCGTGGGTGGTGTTCAGGTTGTTTGATTATACTGATTGCCCTGAGGGTCCTATACTGCCCGGAAGTCATTCTATAGAGAGGTTTTTGATCGAGGAGCATCTGCATTCAATCATAGAAATGTACCACCTAGAGAGAAAGGATTGCGCTGCCCACTTGCTGAACTTCCCTTACAAGCTAAAAATACCTTTGGAGTACTGCATTGTAGAGGTGGTCTTCGCCGAGTTGTTCCACATGCCGACGCCTCGGTACTTAGAGATCGCCTACGGCACTATTCTGATAGAGCTGTGCAAACTGCAGCCCTCGACTATGCCGCAGGTTTTGGCTCAAGCCACCGAGATGCTCTTCACGCGCATAGATTCGATGAACGTCTCGTGCTTCGACAGGTTCGTCAACTGGTTCTCCTACCATCTCAGCAACTTCCAGTTCAGGTGGTCCTGGGACGACTGGGAGACTTGTTTGACCGCCGAGGCCGAGCATCCCAGGCCCAAGTTCATCAGAGAGGTTATGTTGAAGTGTTTGAGGTGAGATTACTTTTTTTAACTCTATTTTGAATTGAAATTTAAAGGGTTCTAGGTACGTCAAACAAGAAACCTATTCAGTTCACTTAAATATCTGGAAGAAGTTTGATTTTTAGTTTTGTTGAGTCAAAAAATATAAATTCACTCAATCAATATTTTTAAATAATTACACTGTGCTGAAAAAACGAGTAATTTTACTAATTTTTTAAATGCGTCCCATGTCTCGGCTGTTTAATATAAACAGCAAATTTTTTTTATTTATAAAGTTTACATACTAAAGACAAAATAAAACTTACAAATGAACCGTTTGGTGTACGGTTTCCAAACAATAAAATTGCTTGAAATTTTAAAATTCTAGAAAATCTCATTATTTAGGCCATTATATAAGGATGTTGACTTCCAAATAGAATTATGAAATTTACAGGATAATTAGCCCCTATCTTAATATTCAAATGCCTGGTAGTTTGGTTTTGTTATTTTCATCTTTGAAGGTTATACAATAGCTTTAAATGGAAAAAAATATTGAAATAATAAAAAGTCGCATTATTTTATCCATTATATAAGTATGTTCACTTTAATATAGAAATATGACATTAACAGGATGTTTAGTCCTTACCTTGAAAATGAAATGCCTGTTTGACTTGTTTTGATATTTTCATCCATTTTGCTTATACATGGGCTTTAAAAAAGGCTAACACATGGAAAATTAAAAAACGATTCATTTTATCCTTAAATCATATAAATGTTAACTTCTAAATAGAAATATAGCCCTTATCACAAAGTTTAAAAGCTTGTATAGCTCATTTTCCTTTTTTTATTTTTTTTTGTGATTGTACAGATCCTTTAAAAGCAGCAAAAAAATAATAAAATTTAAAAAAAATCGCATAACTTATCGGCCATTCCAAGCCCATGGACAGGACACATCAGAAACATGTCTAAATATATTCTTGTTACTTCCTTAAGTTTATTTATTTTTTCTACGAGTATTTATGAGAAGTATTAGCCAAATTTGGCTAATACTTCTCATAAATACTCGTAGAAAAAATAAGTAAACTTAAGGAAGTAACAAGAATATATTTAGACATGTTTCTGATGTGTCCTGTCCATGGGCTTGGAATGGTCGTTATATGCATATAAGTACCTACATATATATGCATAGGCATACATAAGCAAACATAATAGTAAGGACTAAAAGTTTTATCTTTCTATCTTGAAGTCAACACATTCTTGGAATAGAAAATTAAACAATAATCGTTTTTTAAATTTCAATATGTTTGCTCCTTTTAAAGCCCACGTAAAAGCAAAATGGATGAAAATATCAAAACAAGTTAAATAGGCATTTAAACTTCAAGGTAAGGACTAAATATCCTGTTAATTTCATATTTCTATATTGAAGTCAACTTACTTATAAAATGGATGAAATAATGCGACTTTTTAATATTTCAATGTTTTTCTCCTTTTAAAGCTACTGTATAAGCTTCAAAGATGAAAATAACAAAACCAAACTACCAGGCATTTGAGCATCAAGGTAGGGATTAATTATACTGTAAATTTCATAATTCTATTTGGAAGTCAACATCCTCATATAACGTCCTAAATAATGCGATTTTCTAGAATTTTAAAATTTCAGGCAATTTTTTGTTTGGAAACCGTATACCAAACGGGCCAATTATAAGTTTTATTTTGTCTTTGGCACGTAAACTTTATATATGAACAAAATTAGCTGTTAATATTAAACAGCCGAGACATGGGACGCATTTAAAAAAACACGAAAAATTAGTAAAATACACGTTTTTTTAGCACCGTGTAATTATTTAGAAATAGTGAATTTATATTTTTTTTATAAAAACGACTATATTTTAGCTTTAAAATGACATCTTAAAATTTAAAATATTTTTAATAGAAAAAAAATTACAGCTGTAGCTAGCTTAAATTATTAAAGCATAAAAATGACGTTTTTAAAAAGTGTTAATTCGAATAGGCCGGATTTGACACATGCGAAAAATTAAATAAGGGTGGATTTTGTCCTTTGGGACCCTAATAAATATTTCTATAAAATTTGAGCAAAATTCAAGATAGTCGAGCAACGAGTTTCGGCGTTTTCATATGGATTGACTCTGTTGTAAGAGAATTGATTTTAATTTATTTTTTTATTAAGTTTCTAATGAATTTTTGTTTTATTTAAACGTTTTTTTTTATAAGAAAACACTTTTAGTTAAATGCAAAACTTATAATGATTTTACACCTTTATTTAATAATTTACTGTTAAAAGTGATTAAGATTAAGTATCTTAAGCATATTTAAAAGTAAATTAACTTAATAATGCCTAATTCGTTTTATTAATCAAGAGCGAACTTCGACTATGACTAAACGCCTGTGAAGGGTCTACTGCTGAATTACAAAAACCGTATCTCAGCGTCTTCCACTCTTAAAATGTAAAATGAAAGTACGGTATGAATGAAAATACGGTTTTGGGTTCATTTTTTTGTACAACAAAAACTTTTTTAGCAAAATAAATAAATAAGAAATCATTAATAAATTCTTTATAAAATAAATTAATTTTTTCAATATACCACATATTTCTGAGAACAAAATAATGCTATATAACCAAATTTACCTTTATACAAAAGTTAAAAATTGTTTTTGATTTGGAATAAACAAACGTTTATGCACAAAATTTAATATTTGGGAATATTTACCAACAGAAAAATTAAATTTCTTTAAAAAAATTAATGTAGGTTGTAATTTTTTTAAGAAATTTAATAAACTCGAACTTTCAATTTTGACACCCTGTATCTTGGTTATTATCAACTTTTGTATTGAAGTAACTTTAGTTTATCGCATTATTTTGGTGCCAGGAATATGTGTTATCATTTTATACATGCATCTTGTATATTTTAATATTTAATTATAAATTATAATTTTTTCAACATTTTAAAACATTTTTTTTTTATAATATTCTTATATTTTTGAAACGTACTATTTTTGATATATATTTTTTTAAATATTTAAGACCTGCTTTTTATTTTTGATACTTTTTTATTAAAATGTTTTTATTATACCTTAAGGTATAAGTAATCAATGATTATACATTTTGTTTGTGTTTTATTATAAATTGGAGTTTTGCATGATTTTTGTTAATTTATTTTTGTCAACTTTTGTCCAAATTATCTAAAGTATTTATCATAATTTTTTTTGTCAAAAAGTTAAGAAATATTGATGTTTTTTTTTTATTTATTCGAAATTTTGATGCATTTTTGAGATTCTTTTTTATGTTTTTTTTCTTCATACCTATTTTTAAACATTTACAACACGGCCATTTTACGCATACGGACGGGACAAATTACAAAACTGTTTTTTTTTTAATTGGTAGGTAATTTATTATATATTATTTTTGCATCAAAATTGTCAAATATTCTTCTTTTATAAGGCTATACATTAAATTAAAAAACACCAAGAAATATTTTATTAAAGTAGAGATAATTTCAATAATTGACAGGTGTGGATGGGACAAGATAAATCTTTTTTTTGTCCCGTCCACACCTTTCAATTATTAAAATTATCTCTACTTTTATAAAATATTTCTTTCGTTTTTTTAATTTAATGTATAACCAAATAAAAGAAAAATTTTTTTGAACATTTTGATGCCAAAATATTATAAATTAAATTATCTATATTTTTTTTTTATAAAAACAGTTTTGTAATTCGTGCGTTTCGCGCGCTTTAAATGGCCGAACATTTAAGAGTTTATTTTTCAAATAATTATTATAATTTATAACGAATGCAATATTTTATTAAAATTTTAGGATATTCTTTTGATTTGGCTGATTTTTTTAAAATCCTTTTCCACCCCACTAAAAAGTTTCTTACAATTTTTTGTTTTATTTTTTACAAAATTTAATGTTTTAAACATTTATCTGTCTTTTTTCAAATACCTATAACTGTTTAAAAATTTACTAAATGGGACTTTTTTTTAATTTTTTGTTATATGTACTTTTTGTAATATTTTTTATGTCAAATCCAATGAAATTTTTCAGTTTTTTAGGAAAAACTATCAATCCTTTTAAGTTAGCCATTCTTATTTTTTTTTCATAAAAAAACTTATTTTTTTAAAAAAATTTTCAATCATTTATTTATTTTCTTAAATGATTTAGGAATTTAAGGTTAATAAGATTAACAATAACTTAATTTTTTATATCAATTTTTAAACTACGCTCCACTTTGTCAAAAGCGGCATTAATCGAATCAAAAAATTTAAAAAAATTGGACGTCCCCCTTTTGGTTAATTTTTAAAAAAGTTATGGGTATTTGAATAAAAAAGCCATTTTTTTTTTTAAATTTTAACTGGTTTTTTGGTTTGTGTGTAGCAGAAAAATATAAAAAAAAATCAGTGAAATCGAAAGTGGTTGAGCGTGGAACGACCCATATATTTTATTCTTCTATTTTTAATATTTTTTCAAGTAATGTTTTACATACATACCTACATTATATTTTTTTTTCGTTTTATTTTTAGATTGTCTTATCACCAAAGAATAAGAGAGATCCTTCCAGAAAGTTTTTCTTGTTTTATTCCTGCAAAGCCTGAGCCAGAGTATAAGTACGCACAGGAAGGAGCTGGTAAGTAAAATTTTATTTGAAATTATTTTTTTTAACAATAATTTATTTTTTGATTACGAAATATAATTTAATCTGTTATTATAAGCATTATATAATACTGCTTTTATTAAGAGTCTAAAATATCCCAAATGATTTGTATTAAATTTAATCCCAATTAAAACAGGATTCATAAATTATAAACAAATTAAAACCACAGTCGTATTATTAAAAAATATATTTAATAAAATACATACTTAATTGCTACTTGAAGCAATTAATTAATATTGGAAAAACCAGTTCCATAACAAAAACACACTAAAAAGATACATTAGCCGAGTTAATGTGATGCAAAAAGAAAATTGTATACAATAAAATCCGAAGATTCTCATTATTTATTCGCACGTTAATTTTGTTCCAATTAATTGGCAATTACAACACTTTCTTTATTTCGTAATATTTATAACAATATAAAAATATAAAATATTTACATCTTAACTATTCTGCATTGACCTAAAATATTATCGTTTTTTCTTTATAGGGGGGTTTTTTCTCTTTGGTATAAACCTTCTCTTATACTTTGGTTGCTTTTGTTGGTTTATGTAATCTATACCTTTAGCGTGATTTAAAACTTGAAGTGCCAGCGAGTCCAGTTGAGTTTTAACATCAGGCGTAGTGGTATGCCTTGTAGTCGACTCAACTGGCAGTTGTGCTTTGTACACTCTGTATGCACTACCCAAGTCCAACTCGCTTATTTGGGCACGTATGGTGGGCTCGTACAGTATCTCTTCGTGACGCGTTTCTCTGGTTTTGTTCCTCTTGTTAACCTTGAAGCTTATAGAGGTGCTGTAGCTTTGACTGGTTTGAGGGTTCAGTTCGTGGGTCGTTTCGTACAAACCGGATGTGGGGTTTGGTTGGTAGAAAGTCGTACCGAAATTTTCGTAGTCGAATTGAGGCGTTTCAGTTGTAGATGCCTCGAAAAAATCCGCGTATATTATTTTTGGAGTTGGCTTTACTAAATCTGGATCTTGCATTAGCTTGGCGTTTCTTTGACTGCCAAAAAGATCTTTGGATATATCCGACTGAACGTATGGTTTCGTTGTTTTCATCGGTTGCGTAACGTACCTGGTACTACCGAAAATATCGTCGTTGCTGATGTCGAATTTGTTGCTACCTTTGTTCACCTTTTGGTTACCGTCGACTAAAAAGTCATCTGTATGTTTTGTAGGTTTTTTGGTTGGTCTTTTGGTATATCTAACAGGTTTTGTAGTACCCACGTAGGTAAGTGTAGTCATTGGTGTTGTAGTTGGAGTAGTACCGCCATTTGTGTCAGCATATTCGGTAATTTCTCCAGTTGTAGTAGGTATTCTTTGCCCATATGTAGTTTGTATAGGTTGCTTTGTGTAATATATAGTACCTGTTGTGGGTTCTTTGTAGGTACTTTGTTGAATATACATCTCCGTAGTACTCTGCTCTTCTTCTAGAGTGGTACTGTGTACTTTAGTTGTCTCTCTATCGAATTTAGGAGGCAAATAATAATCACTCAAAGGTGTAGTACTCTCCTCTACAGTACTTTCGTCCGTAGTAACTTTTAAGGTGTTTAAAGCTTGAGTAGTACGTTCCACGGTCGTATAAGGTACCGTATATTTGGTGGCTGAAGTGCGACTAGGTTTATTTTTGGTTATTTTGGTTATGTGACTGGTTGGTTCGCTATCCGTACTGTAGGCTTGCGTGGTTTCTTTGCTGAAATTTGGTGTCGTTTCTTTGGATAAGTTTGCGGTGGACTCTGCCTCTGCTTGCGTAGTTTTTTGCGTCGGTGCAGTGCTGACGTAAGGTATTGTGGTGTCGGTGTTATCATCGGGCGGTGGTAGCTGTTCGTTTATCGAATCTGGGTAGGGTTTTTTCAGCGGGGTTTGCGTTATGGGTTTCATGGGTTCGGTGGGAAAATTTTCGGGGAATTCTTCGAGATTTTCTTTGGTTGTTTTATCGCTAGATGGGGTGCTGATTTTTTCAGTCGTCGTTTTTTCGATAAATTGTACGGTTGTTGGTTTAGTTTTATTGTACTTTTTGCTGGGTTTTTTGCTTGGTTTGTGCTCTATGGTGGTTTCTGGAAACAAACTGGTCTCGAAATCTTGATCTATGTTTCCATAGAACGGTGTTACCACTTTGGTTGTTTTCTGTTGTGCACCTGTGGTCTCTGGAAAGAGACTCGACATAAAATCATCGCTGTACTCTGGTAAAGTATGCGTTGTGGTAGTACTGTATCTTTCAGTGGTTGCATAAGTAGTTGGCGGTTGTTTTGTGACACTTGTGGTTGGTTTGCTATATGGTTTCTCCATCTCACTTACAGCAGGTGTATAATAATGTATGGTAACAGGTTTTGTTTGTTGCTGAGGGTTATAGCGAGTGGTTTCAGGTGGTTGCGAATATGTAGTGTCTATAGCACTAGGAATGAATTGCGTGGACTGGGTTGGGTATTTTTGACGAGGAAACTGACTAGTACTGGTTGGGAAAGATTGTTGCTGGGTCAAAGTCGTAGCGGGAACTAACTGACCGGTCGGTAACTGTATCAGTGTAGTTTGTAGCGGTACAAATGTAGTACCATGTTGAGCAAAATTAGGTTCTTGAGATGCAGTTGGTATACCATTTAACTCGAACCTATGGGGACCATTTGAGGTGGTTGTTTTAGATGCCAGAGAATCCAGAAGTTCTTTATATAGCATTATTTCCTTAGGGTCATTTGTGCTGGGTGGTCTTGATACAGGGCGTTTTATAGGTTGTTGTGGATAATTTTGTGTGTGTGTATTGCCATTTGGATTATAGTTGAACAATACAGGACCGCGATTATTACTTATAGGGGGTAACAAACCTTGTGACAATGTCGGAAAGTGTTCTGAAGCGTCATTATTATAAACACTATTATCCAAAAATGGAGGTGGTGTTTTTTTCAAGACAAACACATGTCCAGGCATTGTATAATCGAATCTACCATCCTTGGTCATGTATTCCCCGCTGGAATCTGCCCGTATAGGTGATACAATATACTCTGTTTCGTATTTGTGACCGCGCCCTTCTCTGTGTCTTATCTTTTTTGCTGTCCACAACGCCACCAGTTGCTCGTTTGGGTGTTTCCATGTCTCGCATTGGTGCGTGCCGCATCTGAAAAATAATGTGATAGTTTTAGAAACTTTTTTTTCTAACATTAAGTACTCCAGCTTAGTTTAACTAATTTTGGGCCGCTGATTTCAAAAATGTCATTAGTTTTTCTCTAGGACTTCTAGGATTTAAAATAATTTCGTAATAAAATGCTCTGCTCAATCACCTCAAAATGTAAGTTTTTTGTTGGTATTTTAATTATTTATTAAATTATTTTGGCTTAAATTTATCTTGAACCTACTAAAGTAATTGGTATACTGCAAATATATCATATTTATCTTAACAATATACTAAAATTTTAATGTATTTTATGTGTGGTCGTTTATTTTAATTATTAAATTGAAAGGGCAACAAAGTAAACAAGTTTCAGTATTTTTTATTCAAATTAAGCTCTCAAAATTTAATGCATTGCATAATTTTGCTTTTATCTACCTTAAATTTATTAAATCGTATCAAATATCAAATTGGATTATAGTATTATTGTGCTTAATCCTCATCATCATCGTACATCTTTTGCTGTAAATTCCAGCAAATGTCTCCTAGCGATGAATCCAACTTTTTTCCGCTATACCCATAGATATCTACCAATGCTCTAGATTTGCAGTTACTTGGTGAAATCGTTCTCCATGTTCATCTGTTCGGCAAATTTATCAGGATGAAAAAAGAAATGTATTTTAAATGACATATTAACGCTAAAGTAAAGCATTTCTTCAATGAATTGGCGCCAATTTTGAGCCCGATATGAACCAAGACAATGACAGCTTTAACACTGCCATATGCGACAAGCTCGTCAACTTTGAGAGCATTTTTGAATGCTTGATCTTTCATTAAACGGCGTATATCAGGTCCATTTAATATTCCTGCACAATTAAAGTAGTAGGTATATCTCATAAAATTTTGTAGTGAAATATTGCGTTGGTTTTTCTTGGGCGTAAAGGTACCGCAAAAAAAACAAAACAAATTTACAACGACGACATGAATATTCGTCTTCTTTCTCTTTCTCTGCCACTTCCATTATGATTCCATTTCCTGCTCTTTTTTCATTTTTGGTTCTTAAAATCACTTTCAAGTAAAAATACAATTTAAAGTTTAAATTTTAAATGTCAATAATTAATAGATGCAATTAAGGGTGCTTGAACGATAAAGTAGATAAAGGCGCCTTTGTACTTTAATTCGATATTAAATTTTGTTAAGACTTAATAAATAAGATTCGAGATTAAATTTGTGGGTACTTTAGGCATGATGTGAATAAAAACATATCAAATAAGAGTCGAAGATGCTTATACCGAAACCCATTTACTTTGTTGCCTTTTCAATTTAATTAGTAATTAAGAAAACGATACTAAAATTTCAAAAAATGATACTTTTTACCAAAAAAAACATTATAATTTTAGTTTTGGTATTTTATAAAGCACTTCTCTGCAGAAAAGTGCTTTATTAAATATCCCTTATAAAATACTGCTACAATGGAACAAACAAAATTTCTATTTGACATTTATCTACCGATGAATTTGTATGGAATCCCTGTATATTTTTGACAAAAAACGTCAAAAATATACTGAACATCCAAAATAGATTTAAGGAAAAATAATTTAATAAATAATCAAAATATTAACAAAAAACTTACATTTTGAGATAATCGGGCAGAGCATTTTATTACGCAATTATTTCGAATCCTAGACGTCCTGGAGCAAAACGAGTTGCATTTTTGAAATCAGCAGCCCAAAATTAGGTAATATAAATGGGCGTACTCAATGTTAGTAAATCCACAATCCACACAACAAAGTCTGTTTTATCTCGTACTAAAAATACAAAAAATCACTGCAACACTGCACAGTTTAACGGCGGCCATTTTTGTTGTTTACAATTTTTGTGCTTTGGGTTTGTGCTCTGTTTATACAGATTAATAATCGTTTTAAACGTTGTGTTTCTCATAGTAAGCCTTAAAAGAGTCCTTTAAGTGCTAAGAACTCATTTTACTCCTCTATTGTAAAAAATAAACTTTATGCACGATGACATTATAATATGACAATTATAACAAAAATTCATTGACGTAAACGTCTTTTTATAGCCCGCGGGCGTTATTATGACCCAGCGGGCTATAATGAAACGTCAAAAATTAAAAACAACAATGTTACACCATTTGATATATTCGAAGTAAGTTTTTTCGTATAAAGATTTTGATTTTTCCGGCAGCAGGCCGCAATTTTTCGCCTTTTCAGCTGCTTCCTCAATTTCATTCATCTTTAAACTTTAAAACTGACTGATGTCAGTTGACATTATAATATGACAATTATAACAAAAATTCTTTGACGTAAACGTCTTTAAAAACATTAATATATTAAAAATATTAATATATTAATCGTGCATAAAGTTTTGTATGCATTGCTGGCATAACTGGTTTTTATGGTCCTACGACGCTTTTCTAGCCCTCGCGCTAACGCGCTCGGGCTCGAAATAGCGCCTCGGACCATAAAAACCTTATTATGCCCTTAATACATAAATAACTATTATTCAAATTGTCATTTGACAGCCCTGATAGAATAAGGTATATGTATTATAAAAGAGGAGTAAAATGGTTGTCCTTAGCCTTATTTGAGGCTTATAAGTGCCTCTGTAAGAAACACAACGTTTAAAACAATTATTAAACAGCACAAACTCAAAGCACAAGAATTGTAAACAACAAAAATGGCCGTCGTTAAACTGTGCAGTGTTGCAGTGATTTTTAGTATTTTTAGCATGAGATGTGTGTGGATTGTAAGTAAATTGAACTATCAAAGTGTAATTAATGTACAGCGTGTTTTTAAATTTAAACAGATTCCCAAACCTGTTAATTTTGTTATGACACTCGTCGCAGTCGTTCTGATAGGGATCTTGCACGAACTTGAGACCTTCCAAGGTCGAGTACAGCTGCCCTCTGCCGAGCACGATGATATCCCCGAACGGCACGACGTTCTCTTGTTTTCCCACCAGGGGAGCTGCGAAAACGTGGCCCCTCAGGTTCGGGTCGGAGACGCCCTCTCGATTCAGAGCTTGGCTCGTCGCCTCTCTCAGGCCGGTCTCCCAGTCCTCGGTGGTCGGCGATTCGACGTGTCGTCTGGAGTTGCGCGGTGACGTTCTGCGCAGCTGCCGTCGCGAGGTTATACAGTGCGATTCGAAAGTGAGGGCCTGCAATGAGAATAGTTATTTGTTTTACAAGTGTTGAAAAGCGACTTTTTCATGCGAGTGTTTAAGTTGCTCACTAGGGTGATTCATTTCCGCAAAAAACTTTTTTTTTCTCGGCGCTCAAGCAAAATATTAATCTACCTATAGAAAAAAAAAATTTCACCAAGGTAGAGCTCTTAATATCAATTTTAAGTACTTGCAGTTTAAATTTAAAGTTTTCCCATTTAAAATGCATGTAAAAAAATGTTTTTTTTTTCAAATTTCTAATGCTAGCCCGCTCTTTACAATATTGTGAATCGGTTTAATGGACCTTATAGGGAATTTCACGCTCTTCAAAATTGTTTTTGTGTTTTTTTGTGTAACTCGTAGTGGTTCGCCAGTAGGAGTCATCAAAGTTCAATTTTTTGAATGAACATTTTTTTTGCAATTTTTTTTAACAATTCGCAAAAAATAGTGAAAAAAAAAGAGCTGAATCGTAAAAAATAGTCTTTTAACAAATATTTGATGAATTTACGGCCATTTTTATATCTTAAAACGTACCTAATTGATATATATTAACCCTTTAAGTGGCAGAGTCACTATACTGACCACCCTCGTGATTAAATGTGGCGCCAAATATTTGAACACCCAACCGTACTTCTGCTATCAATAATAACTATAACATCATGCCTAAAGTTTTTAAGTCAAATTCCCTTGAATAAATAATGAGTTTCTGCCAACAATATATTTTTTGATAAAAGTGGTCAATAAAATGATTTGAGAAATTATACTACATCTTGTTTTCTTGAAGTAACCAAGATCACTATACTAACCACCCTATTCTGATAAAAAGGGAGGGGGTAGATTTTTTTGTATATTTTTTCAAGCATCCTGGGATCCATACAAATTATCTTTAATAAAAAAAAATGTGTTTCAAAGAAAATTTCTTCTGCCACTTAAAGGGTTAACCAATTATGCTATTTAAATTAAACTATCGATATAATTCTCTACAACAATAACTTTTCCAGAGTTATTATGATTTTTGACTTATAATAAATATAAAAAAACACATTAATTTATAAAAAAAACAACAAATATACAATTGCAACTTAGATTCTGCAATTTTTCAACATTTCCGTAATATAGCAATAAATATAAATGAAGGTTATTCAATTTTTAAATTCTTAAATTAACGAAAAAGTAAATTGTTTTTATTGTCAACTTCATTTGCTTCAATATTGTATAAGTAGAAATTGCTATTTGAATAATTGCACTAAATAATATTTTGATGGCATATTCGAACATAAGTAAAAAAATAATGATAATTATTTGATCGGGAAAGCAACTGTTACAATTTTATGATTGCTCTAGTTAATTAGTATGACGTTAGCGACTCTGTTGTCTTTGTAAACGGGTTTGATGCTTTATGTTATACTTAACCCCAAAATGTATTGTTTGTTGTATTTAGTGATTAGTCCGAGAACAAAGTACGAAGTGACTAGGAGCACGTTAGAGTGCCTGCAATTTATTTTTTACGGGCACGCTAGTGACGTAATAGATAAAAAACGTCATCACTGCCGTGCCGCTTAATTTAAAATTGGCGGCACAACAATAATATAATAATAAATTGTACCTGTATAAAAATAAAAAAATTTCGAATTGATGTGTTATGTTTTATATTTATTTTTAGTCAGAAATCATAATAACTCTGAAAAAGTTATTGTTGTAGAGAATTATATCGATAGTAAATAAGAAAGTTTAATTTAAATAGCATAATAGGTTAATATTTATCAATTACTTACGTTTTAAGATATAAAAATGGCCGTAAATTCATCAAATATTTGTTAAAAGACTATTTTTTACGATTCAGCTCTTTTTTTCCACTATTTTTTGCGAATTGTTAAAAAAATGCAAAAAAAATGTTCATTCAAAAAATTGAACTTTGATGACTCCTACTGGCGAACCACTACGAGTTACACAAAAAAACACAAAGACAATTTTGAAGAGCGTGAAATTCCCTATAAGTTCCATAAAACCGATTCACAATATTGTAAAAAGCGGGCGAGCATTAGAAATTTGAAAAAAAATACAAAACAAAATAACCTAAAAACGTGTTTGACAGCTATATAATTACTTTCATCTTATTCTTTTAAGGTATAAGTTAGTTAAAATCAATAAACATACCTTTTTAATTTAAATAAAGGCACTAAAAATTAAAATTTATTATACAAATTATATTTAGACATACATTTACAAATACAATACAAATTTTGAAACGAATGTCAAACGATGCTGTCAATTACTTTTCACACAGACCTGTCACTTTTCACACATAAATGTCACTTTACATTCGTGTTTTGCCTTGCCAATGAAAAGATTTATTTTCTAAGCAACGATGCCAATACGAAATGTGACTTTTACATAGTGGTCGTAGAAAAAATTGTTTTCGCGGTAATTAATACTTTTCTTGGAAACTGTTGTTATAGTTTAGGATTAATTATTTTTGTGAAAACAACCGTTTAAACATGGGTACCTAACGAAGCATTTAATAATATATAATTATTGTTTAATATTACTTATTATGTGGTAGTAGGTACCACCTAATGGATTCACTTATTTTGTAGTAAACATTTTTAATGGATTAACACCGGTATAGATAATGATAATAAAATGAATTTTTTGACCATTTATCATAATTTAGGTTTTTTAAATGACATAATTATTTAAAAACACCATTTAAGCTTTTGTTTCACATGTTGAACACAGACTAAATTTAATAATTTTAAGAACATAAAATCGAAAATGGAGAATGAATTAATTTTAAAATAAAAATAGGTAGGTACGTATAAAAACTCTTTAAAGATTAAAAAAAAAACAAAGCAAATCACAAAGTTGCGTATTTTTATGGCGATCTTAAAACACATTTGACATCATTTTATCGTAAAAAAGAGTATTTGTAATTTTTATTTTTATTTAAAAAACTTTTGGCAATTGCAATGAAAATTGCCGTAGGCATGCGCGGTAGAGTCATTTCGACGAATCTCTTGCAATTGACTTAATTCGGTCCGGATGGATATTTATTGCCGTTTCACTGCAATTCTGGGGTGAAATCTGGTAACTTTTATGTTACCAACCCTACTACAAATTCCCTAGAGAGACGCTGTTTCACTGTTTGACAGACTGTTTAAAACAGTTTAAGGTTATTTGTTTTATGATTGGCATTTTGTTCAAAGTTCGAGTATCCATTTTACTCATTAATTTTTAAATATCTCTACCAAACAACAAATAAACTTAGTGTTTACAAAATCGTACATTTTTTTCGGTTGGTAGCACGGTAATAAACAGCAAGTTGTCTTGCCATTGCTGACTGTAAAACAACATGCAGTACGACCTTGAAAACTTGATGGAAAGAAAAATTGCTGCAAGAAAAATTGCTGCAAGAAGAATTGCCGGCTGTAATACGGCCTTTAGATAAGCAAGATACCCAAAATTGATTTTTTTCATTACAGCGCCATCTATTACAAATATGAAAAAATGTTTTAGACAAAATCTCCCTATTTTTAGTCGAATGATACGAATCTACAATAAAAAATAGGGTGTTCCATTAGAAATTTTAAAGTTACCCCTTGTTCCCCCTATAAGGAGGAGAGTATGAGGACAAATTTTAGTTCTGATTGATTTCCCCCCTCGAATCATTTAATTTTTATTTTAAAAATTTTTTCATAAAATGCATATTAACTGAGATATTTCAAAGTTTCAGCGTCTTTTGCAAACAAAAAAAATATAAAAAAAATTCGTCCAATAGAGCAGAAATACTGCGATATTATTGGTGGCTTTAAAAATTAAATAACTCCTGCAAAAATGTACATTGTTCATAAATCTATATAAAAACAAGAGTCGATTTAAAAAAATAGTATAGCTGATCTCGGATTAAAAATTGAACGATACATAAAACATACGATTCTAAAAATAAAAATATTAATATTAATAATAATAAAAGTAGAAAGTGAGGTTAGGTAGATCTGACAGTTGTCAAATGTCATATAATCTGTAAAATAAATGTGAAAATTATTTTATTATCTCAACACAAAAGTATTAAATAGTTTCTTGACGCCAATATTTGAAAAGATTATATGAACGTTTTGTTTCGCCGTAGTAGTGCAGTAAACTGATAAAGCACTATTTACTTCTTCACTTTTAATGTGAAAAACTGCTTCTATATCGGTTGTTAGTCTAATTTCAAGGGATAAATTTTGATTTACCAAAAAATTTGACGTTTTAACGCTGGTAGATTCCAAGGTTAGAAATTCTAACGCGAATTCCAATAAATACAACTGTGACTTTTTTAAAATTTCCCATGTAATTTTAGTACTTTGTGATAATATTTTGCAATTATAGTTATAATCAAATTTTGAAGTTAATTTATTATTTTAAAGTATTGATAATTGTTAAGTTTAATTACGGGTAATGTTACAATTACGTCAAAAATGTTTATTGGGATGTTTACTTTATTTTCGTATAGATGTCGCTTTATACAAATATTTAATTTAGTGTTGACAATAATAAAATTTAAATTATATGTAAAACGCTTGAAGATAAATATTTTTAATTGACATATGACAATTAAAAAAATAATTTAATATTTTTTTAATTTACAATAGAAATTAACAAAAAATCTATGGTATTAATTAATAATTTAAAATACATACAATTCCATAAAAATATATAAAAAAAAATTTGGGAAAATTATGTTTTTAATAATATTAATATTAAGTATTACATTTATATTTTTAATATTATGAACTCTTATTACCGGAAATCATAATATTTTATAATTATTTTATAATTATTAATAAAATTATTAAAAAAATACAAAAAGGATTATTTTGCAAAAATATCTTCATACTCAAAAATACACTTACCAATATTAGTAACCACTTTACACTAATAATCCAAATAAGTGTCATCCTTTTTACATTTAGCCACTTAAATCACTCGAAAAAAAAAACAACCAGTCGATTTGGCGCGTGCTATCAGCGCCTATCACATAGACATCACCGAACTAATCTCGGAATCGCCAAGTCTGACCCACGCGAGTCCAGTGGGGTCCCTCCCTCTCCCCCTTCCCCTCCTTCTCCTGCTGCTAATGCAAAGGCAGGCTCGAGATCTTCTGCATGCTGTTCCGGCCGCTGCTGAAGCTTTCGACATAATTATATAGTTTGTGCCATACCAGTGGTCAGTGGAGATACAAGATTATTACCATTTTAAAGTTTTTCATATTTCTACTTACTTAATTTAACACTAAACTCAAAACTAAAAACTTACATTACAAGATTTTAAACTGCGAAGTAGTATTTACTGCGTATACATGAAAAGATTGTCAAAAATACTCTTACTTTCGGAATCTTGTCTTTTTCGTGTAAAAAAGGTGTTGCGTAAATATAATAGTCAAAATTAGTGTCAAAAATTTATAGTAGGGATATAAAGTTAAGTACAAATACAACTTTAAAATGTCTTTTGGATTTTTTGCAAAAAAATGACCTTTTTTAACCTACAAATTCTCAAGTTTTGTAATTACAAATAATAAATGGAATATAAGTAAAAATTTATAATTACTTGCCCAGAACCACATAGTGCATTCGAAATGAAAATTCATCTGCATTTATTCGCCTATAAGAGAGTTATGCAAAAATGAAAAATGGCCGACAAGTTACCGCTAACCTGGTAATAAAAGTAATATATTTTTTAAATTTGACAATAATTATTCCATTTAAGAATGGTAATACAATTTTCTTTACTCCTATTACATAATATTATTTTTTTAATATACTTTGTATATTATACAGTGTGCTAACGGATGGTAATGACAATAGAAAAAAACTTTTTTATTAGGTATGATACGAAAAAAAACATGTTTTTTAAAAACTCTTGCTTGTTTCAAAAATAAGATTCCTACACAAACATTTTGAATTATATGTACAGGGTGCTCAGAAACTAAAAAAACCCAAAAACTAGAAGTGCGGGAAAAATGAATTCTTTTTGAAAATATTTGATGTTTAAAAATTAAGACTTTCATAAAAAGATAAATTATATATACAGGGTGCTCAGAAATTTAAAAAAATTATATATCAAAATAAGAGAGAAATGTGGTAGGATATTCGTAACGGAATCGCAAAAAATCATTCTGCTTTAATGAGATTCCTAACAAACATTTTTAATTAAATGTCCAGGGTGCTCAGAAAATATAAAACAGCAAAGTGCTTTAAGAGGGTAGTACAATAATGATTGTTCTATAGGAATCTCATTTAACTATTTCTCTATTTAACGCATAATAAAACTAATAAGTTTTCCTATTATCAACCAACCATCACGATATTGGTTAAATGGTTGTTAAAAGGAAATATGGTGAAATGTAAAATGTTGATATAATAATATATTTTTGATACTTTGAAGGTAATGGTTTTTCGGTCATTCATGATAAAAAATTATGCTTGCGCCATGTTGCAATTGCCGCCTGGTACAAACTATGAACATTTATTTATTTAATAAATAAATTATTAAATATAAAACAAAAAATACACTAATTTAAAAAAAAATCATTTAATATCATTTGGCTAGACTTAGCCCCCTCAATACCAAATATTTTTGAAAAAAATTTATATAAGAAGTATATAAATAATTTTTTCCGCGTAAATTTACCTCTCAGACCACTGTGCACTGGTGTTGATAAACGCTATTTTAGTCACGAATGCTTAATTAGTGCCTAGAAAAGTTTATAAACGAGTTGCATACTATATTTTTTTTACTACAAATTTGTCTACTTAATATTATCTAAAAATGATTTAAATTAAATATTTGTATAAAACTACATCTATACGAAAATAAAGTAACCATCCCAATAAACATTTTTCATGTAATTTTCACCATTAACATTGCCTGTTATTATTTTAATTAAACCTAACAATTATTGATACTCTAAAATATTAAAATAACTTCAAAACATAATATAATTATCCTTTGATTTTTTTACTACTATAATTGCAAAATATTATAACAAAGTATTAAAAATTCTTGCACGGGAATTGGTAAAGGTACAAAAAGTGACAGTTGTATTTATTGGAATTCCCGTTAGAATTTTTAACTTGGAAATCTACCGGCGTTAAAATCTGAAATAAATGTAAATCAAAATTTATCCCTCGAAAATAGACCAACAATCGATATAGAAGCAGTTTTTAACAGTAAAAGAGAAAAGAATGTTTTATGGGCACTGTACGCAAAATTTTTAACTCTTTATTTTACATAAATTCTCTCTTTAAACAATGATATTATAAATTACTATTTTATAATACATTTGTTTGAAGATCCCAAACACCTTGTATTACATTTTTTTATCTTAGATCGCCATGGCCAAGGCTAGCCATTGTGTTTTTTTTGTAATTTAGGTAATTTGTAACTTTAAAAATCTTAATCTAAAAACAATGATTTAATGATTTAATTAACGATTTCAATTTAACATTGTTTCCCCAAAATGTAATAGCAGTAATTTACACTGTATAATAGACTGTTAACTAGATTATAATCTTTAGAACAAAGTAATAGTATATTATGTATCAAGTTGATAACCGCCAGAAAAGTATAAACGAGGTGCTTACTATACTTTTTCTACGACAAATACTTATTATTATCTTAAAATGATTTAAATCAAAAATTTGTATAGAGCGCCATCTATGAAACAATAGGGGAATCTGTGTGTCACTGTCAAATGTCACATTTTTAAATTTTATAAACACACATTATGAAGGTTACAAATCGAAATGTATTTCTTGAAAATTGTCAGTTTTTCACAGTGAAAGTAAAGAAAATGTTTTATGAGGACTTTACAGTGGAGTCCGTGCCCGAATTTAATTTATAGTTTACTGCCGGCGAAATTAAAAGGTCAGTACAATGTTCATATAAACTTTTCAAATATTGGCGTTGAGAAACTATTTAATACTTTTGTATTTTTGTATTGAGATAATAAAATAATTTTCACATTTAGTATTATTTTAGAAGAAAGGCACTTTATTTTAACGATTGTATGACATTTGACAACTGTCAACTAACTTAAAACTAACTTCAGCCCCTGACTAAAAACCTGTTGCTTACTTCAGCTCGTGACTAAAGCGCCATAAAGCCACAACTTGTCAATGTGTATTTAAAAGGTCACTTAGTGTCATGGAAATATGTACGATAAATGGCGTTTTAAAGGTGGGAGTAGAAAAAATACAATTAACTGGAATATTTACAGGTATGAAATAGGTTGAATAATTAAGTAAAAAGTAATTTCAAAATATAATATGGGTACAAATAATTTGTCTAAAATAAAAATAGAAACCAAAATATGTTTTTTTAATTTCAATATTTCCTTTCATGGGATATCATATAATATATTATAATTATCCGATAATGTTGAAATCTGGCATTTAACAAAGTGCAGTACATTTCCTGATATTTTAATTAGCCTAAGAAAGTGTCAACAATTGGAAAATACATAAAAACACATCCAATTAATTAAAAGTACTATGTAGATATTTCTTCCTTGTTTGTTTTAACAATCCAAACTTTACCTAAGAAATATTTTGCAATATAAAAACGAAAGTGCTGATTGTTTTTAATGGTTAGAAATACAACTTTCAATAATTTTTCTGTGAGATATATTTTCTGAATTATATCTTTTCCAATAGTTTATATTTAGCAAAACAGTAGGATTTCCTAATAAAGCTTATGAATCTAAAATAGTTAAAAAGTGCTTCACAAGTATAATATTAACTTAACATACTTTTTATTTCCGTTGTAATATAAGTAGATCCAAATCTATTGATTTATTAATGAATTTAGTGACTTCGAATATCGATAAAGATGATTAATTAATTTGTTATCTTGATATCTATTCATACGAACTCTAATTAATTATTGTGAATAAAATCATTACTAATTAATTAAATTTGTGTAAACCAGATTTTTTAGTTTACCAAGATTTTAATTTTTCTTATTTTTACCTATTTGCAACATTCCACTTCAAATTATTTTAATTACTATGATTAAAAACAATGAGGGCTTTTTCTTTTTTTTTCATTATGAATTATCATTTAATTATTGTTATGTAACGCCGGGTTCTTTAGATGTCTATTTAATCGTATAAACCAAACCACGTACTATTTAATTATGTATGCACCAACAGATTCAATTGCAATTTAATGAGACCAAATAACATAGATTTCGTTAATGTAGGTTTTTTAATATTCATTTATTTTTGTGAGGTAATTCGGATAAAAGTTATAACAATTTTTAAATATTATTTAACAAGGATATGAGGTTTTGGAACCGGCAAAAAGTGTATATAAAGTTGATATTTATTTTTGGAGTCCATAATGAATGCTTAATTTTTTCTGTTAAATTATTTAAATAAAATTTCACTAAAGTTAGATTCAGAAAGTAACAACGTAGGACACCAAAACCACAATAGGCAAATAAAAATAAAGAATTTTTTCTACTCCCACCTTTAAAACGCCCTTTATCGTACATGTTTCCATGACACTAAGTGACCTTTTAAATACACATTGACAAGTTGTTGCTTTATGGCGTTTTAGTCACGGGCTGAAGTTAGCAACAGGTTTTTAGTCACGGGCTAAAGTTAGCTTTAAGTTAGTTGACAGTTGTCAAATGTCATACAATCATTAAAATAAATTGCCTTTCTTGAAAATAATACTAAATTTATGTGAAAATTATTTTATTATCTCAATACAAAAATACAAAAGTATTAAATAGTTTCTCAACGCCAATATTTGAAAGGTTTATATGAACATTGTACTGACCTTTTAATTTCGCCGGCAGTAAACTATAACTTAAATTCCGTGACGGACTCCACTGTAAAGTGCTCATAAAACATTTTCTTTACTTTCACTGTGAAAAACTGTCAATTTTCAAGATACATTTCGATTTAAAACCTTTATAATTGTGTTTATTTATAAAAATGTGACATTTGACAGTGTCCCCTGTTGTTTCATAGATGGCGCTCTATACAAATTTTTGATTTAAATCATTTTAAGATAATAATAAGTATTTGTTGTAGAAAAAGTATAGTATGCACCTCGTTTATAAACTTTTCTAAACACTCATTAATTTAAGAACTCGCTCGCAAGCTTACTCGTGCCTAAATTAAATTCGTG